GCTCGCATCTTCAAGACCCTCAAGCCGGCCAGAAGAGAACCCATCGATCGCCTGGTCGAAAAGAAGACTGCTACCATCATTGCGGTCTCCTCGGATGGCACCCAGGTGCTCACTGACCAGCCCTTGTCGGCCGCCAAGCACGACTCATGGTGGGTTGACAACGTCCCGGCACAAATCACCCACATCACCCCGGACACCTTCCAGGTCGACTCGGATCTCCTCCTAGTTCCTGGACAACAGCTACATCAGCACATCCACATCACTGAGGATGCTCGAATCCACGAAGCCCTCAGCCACTTCTGGACCGACAGATGGAGCAAGCACAAGGACCTCCCTCCAGAAGCCTGGCAGCGCATCTTCGGCTTTGTACAAGCCTTTGTACCACGCAGTTTGATCAAGCTTCCTGACCTCGATCTCTCTTCTTGGGATCAATCACTGCGAAGATTCAAGAAACACACGGCAAGAGGCGCTGATGGCTATGGACGCAACGACCTTGTCAACATGCCCGATCCACTCCGTCAAGCCCAAGTGGACCTCTTTCGCTGCATTGAAAACGGTGGACAATGGCCACAACAGCTGCTCACCGGCTTCGCCCATGGCATCGCCAAATGCGACGGGGCCGAAGAGGTCGCTCAGTTCAGGCCGATCATTGTGCTCAGCATGAACTATCGCAACTGGGCATCCCTCAGAGCTAGACAAGGACTCTCCAGGCTTTCACAGCTTATGGATTGTCCAGCCTTCGGCTTCTTGCCTTCTCGTGAGGCTCAGGAGATCTGGCTTCCTCTACAAGCTCACATTGAGCTTCATGCTCAACAGAACCGACCTTTGGTTGGATGCGTCGCGGACGTCGAGAAGGCATTCAACCACTTGCCGCGAGTGCCCATCAAGCAGATCGCCAAACACGTTGGCTTCCCCTCCAACTTTGTGGAGGCCTGGCATCGATTCCTCGTTGGATTCTCCCGAAGATTTTGCGTCCATGACACGGTGGGTGGCCCGCTCTTTTCCAACTGTGGCTACCCCGAAGGATGTCCACTCAGCTGCCTGGCCATGGCTCTTGTGGACTGGTGCTACCACCTGTACCAATCACACTTTTCGCCACGGGCCACCTCGGCATCTTTTGTTGACAATCTTGAAATTGTCGCAAATCACCCAGGAGCACTACTACACGCAGTTGTCACTCAGGACGCCTTTCTCGAGATGTTCCAGCTACGGATCGACCTAGACAAAACCTACCTCTGGGCGGTCCATCCTCAACATCGGCAGCAACTTCAGCTTATGGGGCGCCGCATGAGCCTCAAGGATAAGGATCTCGGCGGACAAATGACCTATGGTGCCCGCAGGAGAACAGCCCATCACCCGGACATCCTTGCTGGACTTCAACCAACCTGGACCCTGCTCAAGAAGCTCAACGTTCCAACCTTCAACAAGCACCTTGTCCTCTACCAAGCCCTGTGGCCACGTGTTTTTCACAGTGCGCCCATTGAGGACTTCTCCACTGCCAACATCAAAAGCCTACGCACTGCTGCAGTCCGCGCCACTGGCGCGGGACGGGCAGGGGCAAGTCCCCGAATCCGGCTCAGTCTTCTTTCAGGAAACATCCTGTGTGACCCCTGATTCTTCCAGCTCTGGCAGGTCGTACGCACCTTCAGGCGCATCCTCCACAAGCAGGCTTCCCTGATTGACACCTGGGCCGAATTTACTGCCTCTTACGATGGCCGTGCTTTTGCTGGACCATTTACGGTGTTACTACGACAGCTCAACGCCATCACGTGGAAGATTGCATCCCCACCTACACTTGTCGATCATGAAGGGCATCACCACAACATAATGACCATTGACATTGGCCTCCTCCGACTACTTCTTGAAGACGCCTGGTTACAATCCACCTCTCGGGATCTTGTTCAGCGGGCAGACTATCAGGGCCTACAAGGAATCAACTGGATAGCCAGTCTTCACTGCAGTGCCCGACTAGACGCCCTTGAAACTGCCAGGGTTAACACCCTTCGAGAAGGAGCCTTCTACCTCAACTCCCAGAAGGCCAAGTTCGACAACTTCACTGCCAGCCGGTGTAATCACTGCTCTGCCCTAGATACCGCCGAACATCGTTGCCTTGAATGTCCAGCACATGCTGAATGTCACGCCCAGCACGATCAAGCGCGTCGTCTTTGGCATGATTCACCTGTATGCCTACGTGAACGACTCCTTCTCCCTTGCAATCCGCTGCTTTGTGAAGTCAGGGACTATCTCGACAGCCTCAAGTACAAGCAGATTGTCTTTGAGACCTACGCCCAACCTGGTCAGACCGTGCACTTGTTCACTGACGGCTCCTGCACATCTCCTACGTACCGGCCATTGGCCTTGGCATCCTGGGCAATCATCTCTGCAACGCATACATGCCAAATCGCAGCAGGACCACTTGCCGGCAAAGCACAACGTATCAACCGGGCTGAACTTACAGCCATTTTGTACGCTGCAAGATGGACACATCAATGCGGATGTGCTACAACCTTGTGGACTGATTCTGCATATGCCGCCTCTGGTGTTTGGAGACTTCAAGCTGACGAGTTTGACGCCCCTGATACAAGCAACAGTGACCTCTGGCAGGAACTCCGGCTACATCTTGAACGCCTTCAACCTGGTCAATTTCGGGTGCTTCACCTCCCTGGCCATGGACGCCCTGATGAATGCGAAGACCCAGCTGATGAATGGACCATCAGGTGGAACGGGGCTTGCTGACGGAGCAGCCAAGGTCGCAAATCAGCAGCGGGAGCCCTCCTTCTTGAGACTCTGGAAGGAATACCAGCGTGCTGAACAAGCACAACTTCACCACCTTCGCCTTTTCCAAGCCCTTCACCTTGCTGTTGCACGAAGCAATGAGAGCAAGGAGAAGGCCAAACAGCTTCGGCACGCTCCTGATGATATCCCTGATGATGAAGAGGTCGCGACCTATCAGCACAGTGAGGGACAGGCCAGCTGGCTCGTCTCACTCAGTCAGGAATGGTCATCTGACCTCGATGGTTCAAAGCTTGAGTTTCAGTTGGGGCCACGTTTTCCTCGACAGGTTTTTCAATGGCTTCATCAGAAAGCCTCCACCTGTGCTAGCCCGGTATTCGTTTCATGGCTTGAGGTTGCTGTCGCACTCAGGCTTGCATGTATCCAATTTCCGGCCCCGGCACCTCACCGCGATGGTGCCATTTGGAGGGACCAGCATGAATCCACCTCAGTTCAAGGTACCCTTGGCTCGGATGTGCATTTGATTAGGCTTCTTTTTCGCGGTTTCGCTTCCCTGTTTTCCTTGAACTTAGGTGAGATTCGAGGCCTCAACCTTTCGTTGCTTGGAGTTGGGCCTCCTCAAAATGGTCTAACAATAGACCTCCCACATCGCGTTCTTGTCGATGTGGCAAGTGCAATCCGCACCTTCTGCACTGGCCGGCCGATTCGCTCGGCCAATGACTTGGCCAGGCCTTTTCGATAAGACCCCACAAGGGGGTCTGCACTCGATGTGGCACAACGCCACCTGACAGATTGGACGTGCCGCACTGCCGCCCGGCCGTGCGCACGTTGCAGCGCGTGAGTGTGAGCGGATCTGAGGACAGCCCGGGGATGTGGTTCCTTTTTTCGTGGAGTTGGTACCCCTTCTTTGAGAGGGGTTGAAAGGAAAACCCAAAGCACGCAACACGCAAAATTATGGGACCCTTTTGCCAGGCAACGTAAACCAAGAGGGAAGCTGAAGGGTACCAAAACACACAAAACCTACATGGGCTCGTGGATTTTGCCGCTTGTTGAAGGGGAAACAAACACAAATCCTTTCTTGGGTTGGTTTGGGGTGGCGTGCCCTAAAAAATCAAGACTTGGCCAGAAAGGCACTCGGGTTGTTGGCACGTGTTTAGGTTTTGTGGTTTGTTGGTCCTGTTAATTTATAGTAGGGGGGCTGCAAAATCAAACTGTGTTGCTATCACACCAAGGGTTGTAAAGAATATAGTCGTGCTTTTGGGAGGGTACCCTCTTCGGTGTGGCTTTAAATCCATCCGTTTTTGTGTTTTTGTTGCAGGGAGTGTCCCCGTGTGGTGGTCGGCGCATCACTTTTGAAGGGCCAACCCCCAGATTGATCCAGAGTCAACATTGTGGCGTCCCTTTAACACCAACCCTGACAGGGTACCCTCCAACACTCCACCCCTGAGTGTGAATCAAAACTTGGGTAGATGAAGGTTAGCAACTGGGTTGGTTGAAATGAACATTTCAAGGGTTCTCAAAACCTATGGATGTTTTGTTTTGGCAGAGCGGGCGACACGTTAATTTGGAGGAGCTTTTGAAAAGCTGGTTAGATGATGGGTAGGAGACAGTCCCAGCCAAAAATAGGTGCGGATATCCGCCCTCTTAATTACTTACCACGGGCTTTGGGTAGCCGGCTTTAGTACCGATCGGTGTTGATTGTGACTCAACTGGGTCCGCTGGTATTTGGGTGGCAGCAGAGAAACCACCCTAACACTATAAGGAAGATGGTGAATACCCAAGTGGTAACATTTCAAACAAAACATCCCAAGGAGTATCCCGAGAAAAAATAACGCTGTGTTTCTTTCTCTTTAGCTATGTCTATATGGACATATTCATAGGAACCCAGTCATGCTGCTTTGTTCCTGGTTTCAATCTCTTGTGCGCACGGGCGACGGGCAGTCTTGCATCCTGAGAACAGGTCGGAGGAGAGCAATTCGGCCTTTGCCAGCTGATGACCGGAAACAGAAGCGCCTCGAGCCTCCATGACCCTTAAGAAATGGGGTCATTGCTTACAGCAAAGGGTTCACAACTTGATTGCTACTGAGTTGGATCTCTACACTTCAACTGTTTGGGAAATCAAGGGTTTTTATTGAACCCCATTTTTTACTCTATTTTCTTGGGAAATCAAGGCCTTCTTTCTTTGGCAGGGGGGTCAACAGCAACCAGACAAGCCCATGATTCAAGGGTCACGCAGAGGGCCCAATCGCACGGTGCCCGGTCTGGAGGGGCGCGGGGCAGTTCGCCGCGTGGCATCTGGAGCCCATTCAGAGCGGCCCGGCCGAAAGCCAATTGGAAGCCGGAGTGGGCAGAGCCGGCGGAAATGGACCGGAGCAACCCTAGGAACATGCTAGGGCTTGATTCCTTTTCCATTCTTCTGAAGCATGGTTCTTTCCAAGAACCGGGAACGTTTTCTCCCTGGGTTTCCGGAGGTTTTCTAGAAAGAAGGATCCCTGGAAAGAATGGGGAAATGGAAGGTACCCCTAGAAACATGGAAGCTTGGTGGTTCCATTACTTGCTGGTGCCAATGGGTGGGAATGAGAAATGGAATGACCAACAAAAAAACATCCCTTTCTCAAAGCGAATTGTCTTGGGTTCCATGAGACCCAACTCTGTACACTTTGAAAAACATCATATCCCGGGACCCTCATACTACCATGAAAGAAGGGAATTCGCCAGCCATCATTTTGGGGCAATAACCAATGTTTAAGGGAACTGTCAGGGTCGAGGTCTTCAGATTCTGTTTCATATTGGGGTGTCTTCTTTTACACCCCCCCCAACAGAAACATGTATTCGCTCTTCCTTTGACGACTTCCCTTTAAACCCATCCAAAGGGTACCGAGGCTCAAAGACCTGCGTTGCGGTTTTTGTTGGGCGCCGTTTGTCAGCTTTTCTCTTGGTTCGCCTGGCCTGGCATTTGAGAAGTGGGGCTTCAAAGCCCCAATCCAAACCACATCAAACCACCAGGCGAACCTGACTTGAGGTTGGGTTTTGTTTGGGGAACGTAAAGGAAAGCCCAGCTGTTCAAGAGGGTCCGGGACCTGTCGAATGGCGCGACTCAGCCATCTTAAGCCCAGGTCGCAAGGAGCCAGTGCGAAGCCAAGGCTGATGTGTCCTTTTGGGTTTCTGTTGGTTAGAAATCGATGGGTTCCACTGGTTCAGATAAGTTTTATGTCCATTTCCCAGGGAAGCCCATCTGTTCTTCCAAAAGGTCATGGTGAGATAGGCATCCGACTTCGTCGGGAGCTGTCCCTGCCCCCCAATGATGGCAACCCCCAAACTGGCTTCGGTTTTCCGTTTGGCTTCCCTTTAGAAACGAACCCTCAAAAATGACACCCTTTTGGTTCTTGACCTGGTCTTGGTGAGCCAGCTTCGATATTAGGGTAATGTTTGATCATCCTGGACCCCTTCCACAGGAATTGTGCTAGGTCGGTTCCATCCTCGAGCTGCTTCCAACATGGCCTGACTTAAGACATGACGACCCTGAATTGTTAAACTGCATGGGCACAAATGGCAGTGGGTCAAAACCAATGGTACCATTTTGGGGTAGGCGCACCACCCATTTTAGTCTACGTTAGTAGGAATTGGCATGTTACTGGGGGTACAGGCTTTTGACCCATGGCCAAATAGTGCTTTTACCCCCAACAAAGGACCCTCTCAAATCCGGGACATGCCGTATCAGTCCACTCGGGGGGCTATGAATCCGGTGTCGAGATTCGCCATTTGAGGTCAAGCGTAGAAGCCCTTTGATGACCGTTGGTCAATCTGGAGATGTCTGCAGTTCACCGTCCTCAAGACCGGCGACGACGAGGATTGCAAGGCAAGTAACTCACAGGGGTCCCTACGTTCTCTTTGTAACACTGCACTGTTGTTGGCATGTTTGTTTTTGGTTGTTTGTTGGTTCTGCTCATTTTTGGTAGGGAGCTACAAAAAAAAGCTTGGTGCTACCATGCTAAGGGTTGCGAAGAACATCATCCCACTTGGCCAATTTCCGGGGAGTGTGTCCTTTGAGTGCAGGAATTTATGTTTTAGCATGCCCCCGCTTAATAGAAATCGGATTCGGGGAGGGACAAATGGAACTTGGGAGAGAGATTGGTTGCCCGCGAATGTCAACATGACAAAACGGACGGGGGTGTTTTTGAATGGGTGTGTCTTTTTTAGGAACTTCGCCAAAATGGCGGTTGTCCTCTTGGTTCCCCTCCCCCCGAGATATGGGTACCCTCAAGAAAGGACACCGCCAAATAGGGGCCCCCAAAATGGATTTCGGTTGTTCTGTTTGGTTTTCCTCAACCAACCCCAAACTGGGAACGCTTGAAAGACGATCCCAAAGGCAGCTCATGGTTGCCTTCGCACGATACTTCTGGAAACGGTATGGGAAGAAGTTCAGGGCTTCTCCAGGGGTTGGATTCTCCGACCCTTCGCACATGTTTGGATTTCCCTGACCCCTTTCTTTTGGGTGACCCAGCTTTTCCGGGTCAGAAGGAGACTCCAACGATGCAACAACAAAGCTCTTTTGGTGACTGCGCCGACTCGAGCTTTGACAGGCACATGACGTGGTCACCTGCAGGAGGCGGGAACGCGGAAGGCTTCTGCCAATGAAGCCCGGCAGTGCAGCGAAGGATTCTGTATGCCAATTCCGCACATTTTGCCGCGAGTGATCAACAGGGTCAGCAAAGCCAAAGGGATGCCCAGACAATCCGCTGTAGGGAAAATATACCCACATTGACCCTCATGGGTCAAATGTTGGTATACATGACCTACATGGATTGTCGGGGATGTTTGATTACCTGGAGTGGTAGCTCAGACGGTTGGAGTGGTACAGAAGGCACAGTTCCGACTCCTTTGAGATATGGAGAAGAAAGAGCGCTGGCGGCAAAAGATCCGTGGGAATCGGTGAGAAAGTGGTCATCGACTTGAGTTCACAGAGAGGAAGCCACAGAACGCGGGATCCTGGGCAGTTTGGCATCACAGAATGGCTTGGGTGGTTTCAGAGGGGATCGTGGCTGGCACTACCTAGACTCTCCATGACCATTTAAACATGGGTCCATTGACCCCATTATTTTGGGTAGTGACCCATTTTTTAAGGGTCGTGGAGACTCCAGGTAGTTGTTTGCTTCAAGGCCCCGTGAAATCTTAGCAGTCACGGTGCAGATCTGCCACTCCTCATGTCGATCGAGGTCGCTCAGAAGGGTTTCAACTCGACCCAGTGGATCCCAGTGACCGCGAGAATTTGTAGCCAGCTATTGTCCTTTCAGTTGGGCATGGGTCAAAATGAATCCACCAGAGGACCGCAGTTGTTGGCCCATGTTCTTATGGGGGTTCCATTTTTGACCAGCCAGCTGTGAAAAGGGTTCGGTTCCCTTAGTTGGCTACCATATAGGCCTGATTTTTTTGACTGGAGACCCAAGACGCCATGGGTACTGGCTGTCTTGGGATAGGTATGGTAGGTCTATTTGGCTGTCGGTCGTATCATTTTGGGGTAGGCGCACCACCCATTTTAGAAAATATTTTTAGTGGGGATTGGGATGTTCTCTGCGGGATTTTGACCCATGGCCATTTGTTTGTTGGCTTTGAGAATCTCCTCTTTTGGCTCAACAACTTCCCTTGCGCTTGAATTGGATCCACCTCTCGTGACTCGAATAAACAAACAAAAAGTCCGCGCATCCGCGTGCGGCTTTTGGGGTCGCAGGAGCCCCAGGATTTGTCGTGGTACTTCCAGCAGCAGAAGCGATTTCTGGAGGACCTCAAGGCTCGGCGATCGGATCGATCACGAATCGATGCGTGTCCAGCGTCTTTTGTGGGAGCATGAAGCAGCTGATAGCTGCTGCTTGGTTGGTGGAGGGGAAACGTGTCTAGATCGAAGGGAGGCCCAAAACAAATCAGATGAAATCATTTCCCTCTAAGGGAGCAATTCCCAGCTGGGCAAATTGCTGACATGAGGGAACGATATTAGAGCATTGGTAACTGCTCAGTTGAATCTGGCGGGCTAGGACTCGTTTGAACCTGGGACGGGAATTCGCCCTTTGAAACAACTCCAAAGCGGGCAAGCCCAAAACAAGACTCAACCTATTAAAAGTCTAGACCTGCTTTGGCCCGTTTGAATGGGGGATTCGCTTGGGTTCCCCATGTCCCTTTTTGGCCATTTCAATCATCACTTCTTGGTTGCCAGTTTAAGGTGAGTTTCCTTTGGGGGATGTTTGGGGCTGAACTATAAAAACAGACTTTCCCTTGAACACCACCCCAAAATACCCAAAGAAAGGGACCACAGATTTGACCAATGGCTGTGGTTGTCAAAACCAATGTGGTAGGTGCACCACTCATTTTAGAACCTATTTTTGTAGGGATTGGGAGGTTCACTGAAAGTACGATTTGGCTTTGACCCATGGCCAAATGTCCATTTTCGGGGCACGCCGTGTTGCGAGGTCAGCGAAGACCGGCATGACGCCTGGAACTCCAAGGCGACATCGACACGACGCAGTGGGTGAAATGGATATGTCTTCGAATGGAGGGGACCTTCCCCCCCCCCAAACATGGTAAGTTCAGGTTACCCTTCAGTAGCGATTTGGATTGGTTTGAATTTGGATTTGAACAGGTGCCTTGTTCTTGTAGAGGGTAAATGGGAAACCACCCCGGCACCAAACCACCAATCTGGAGCACCAATTAGAGGGAAGCTGACTAGTATTTGTCCACTTAGAGCTGGATCAAAGCTGCGGTTGAAGGGAATCATTCGGCATTTGGCAAAGAGGACCAAAAGGTGTGTTGGGAGTTTGGACATGGCAGTGTGGTGAATTTGTTTTATCGGGCTGGTGCCAGTGCAAGATATGTTCACTGGCCAGTGAAGGCTTCAGCCGATGCTAGTAGGAAAATGCAGGATTTGTAGGCCGCAGCAAAAGCACTCAATATCGCTTCAATCATATCGAGCTCGGTCGCTTTGTGTGGGGTATGTATATTGGACATAGGACCAGAGGCTAATGTTAGATTCTATTTAAAGTGTCATGGGCCAAATGATGAACATTTTGACACCCATCCAACATGAAAAGGCGTCAAAATTCTGCATGGCTGTGTTGTTGGCCATGGGCTTCACTGTTGGTTGTCATTTTCGACCCATGGTCTCGAGATGGGACCGGCGTTGCTGGGTTGGTTCTTTGTGCCCTATGCTAAGACACCAGGAAAAAGCTCTCCCTTGCCCCATGGGAGATGCATGGGCGCAAATGGATGGCGCTGGCGCGCGTGATTGGAGCCAAATTGCAACCAGTGGAATCCGTGAATGTTGACCCAAACTGACCTAAAAGGACGCCTTACGATTCTTTACATAGCGATTTCACTTGGCAGCATGGAAAGTGGATACACTAGGATTCCAGGTTGTGAAATTGGTGCCACCAAAAAAAACAACTCCCGTGTTTCCGTTTCCCTTGTCTTGTAGGTACCCAAGGGAAACGATCCATGGCAAAAGAGGCAAACCTGCCCAGTCAAGTTTGCCAATGTGTGCCCAGTGATTCCATCCAGTCAAGGGGTTCCCACCCCAAAAAGAAAATAGCAACTGGAATATGGATCGAAGGGTCTGCCGGGGATCTGGGATCGACTGGTCCTTCCCAACCTGAAATTCGTAGGTCTTCATGCAGGAGGAGGAGATCGAGAAGCTGAAGCAGCAGGCCTTGGCGAAAAGCACATGCGGCATGGGGTGAATTGCAACCGGTGAAAAGTCATAGGCTACGCCAGGCTTGGGCTTGTGTCTTTGCAGGGTGCTAATTTCAGGCTGGTGGGTACGCTTGCCAGGCTGAAAACCTGAAAAGCAACAGGACAACCACGTTGCGGGGTCCGACTGTCTATTCTGACAAATACCCGAGCTCATCTCCGCAGGTCTGACCTTTCGGCCTTCAAATATGAATCGCCGAATTTCCTGTAAGCAGCTAAACATATTTCAGCCACAATTGAAACCCGGGTATATCAAGGGTGAGGAATGGGCAGTCCCAGCCAGAAATTGGCGCGGATATCCGCCGTGCAAAATGTCCTTGGCTTTTGGTGCACCATTTGAATACCAGGAGTTGATTGACTCATTTGAGCAAGGGCTTACTTGTTTACACCATGGCCAAAAAGCGCTTTTGTTGACACAACCTCCTTTGGTTTCTTTGGAGCCAGGAACGAACCTCTGCGTCGCTCGCAGAAGTTCGAAAGTTATGAAAGCCGCCGAGAAGGATTTCTCTACTTGGAGCAGTGTCGCACGAAAGAACACCGGACGTAGGAGCACCTTGCAAAGCTTGCAAGAAAGATTTGGGTGTGTGTTAGGAAACACTCCTTTGCGGTCCCACAATTTGAGACCAAAGCTGTAGTTCTTCCAAGCAAGAAAGGATCGAAACCCACAAGTGTTGATATTTTGTTTCTTGACGATGGGAGAAATCAGCTGATCAATCTTTATTAGAAAACTGGAGCCCAAAATTCGCACGAGGACAAGGACTCTTCAGACGGTTCGGTTGGCTTCTCTTACCCGCGTTTAAACTTTAAAAGCTCCATCAAGAATGGTGTCCTGCTTTTCGAATATTTCGGACAGACCCACGAGTTGTGAGCGAAAAGTTGTTCAGAGTTGAGCGGGGGAGTTGTAGTTCTTGCGCGAAGGATCCCATAGATGTTGGGCCCCCCTAACAGGATTTGGAAGACACGGTCTCGAAATAGGACGCCCCCATAAAATGTGTCTTTTACATCAGGGCTCCTTAAAAGATACATTTTGCCCATTTGAAACATGGCTTTTTCCGCCAAAATAAAGGGAAACCACCATTTGCAAGGCAATGTTCAGGTGTACAATGTAAGGATCCCTGCACAAAATGTGTCTTTTACATAGTTTCCCGGTTTCCCTTTGAACTAACCACGAAAAAAAAAACCCAACCGGGCAGTCTGGGGGGTCGTGCGGCCACCAGTGGATTTGATCTACGAAGAACATGTGGTACGCAGGCAAGTCCACGGGGTCCACTCGAGGTCCAAAGGGATTTGGATTGGGTGGCAAGTTGAATCATGGGTCATTTTGGCAGAAAAGGGTCCAGAAGATTCCAGAAGGGTGATATGAATATTGTATTTGTATTTTGTTTACTATTATTTTTTTTAGGGTAGACTCAATATGACACAGAAGCAGCACACCAGATGTTCTACCCCCTTTTTCGTGGCCAAGGACTCAGAAATCAAATGCCCTGACGCCTCTGATAGGTGAGGAATCTGGAAGAAGAGAGGGATGGCCTGCGCAAGGCCGAATTGATCGTACAGCTGGATCACCTATTTTGAGGGTACCTTTTTTTTCAGGGTACCCTGTGTTGTTGTGGTATGTTTAAAGGGACACCCACAGGAAAGCCACCCTTTTGGGGCTTATCAAAGTCAGACAATGGGGTGGTTTGCCGTTTAGCTGTTACATAGTGTGGATGGACGAAATCCTGCACCGCTTTGAAACCAGCGGGAACCATTGCTTGTTTGGTTTTACAGGGGAATCATCAGACGCCATGGTTTCTGAATGCATCCACAGTAGCGGGTGACTTTGCCAACATGAGGCCTTGTACGGCTACGGTTTGTAGGTATTTCTGATGAGATGTGGGTATGGGTCAAATTTAAACCACCAGGGGACCACAACTTTTAGTCATTATTTCCATTTGCCAGGGTGCCATTTTGGGTACCTATTTTAAACCAGAGCCATGTGTGAAGGGGACAATTATTGAGCTCCTTCTTTCTGGGGGTGCATCGGGTCCAAGCCGATTGGATTCTGACAGCACTCGAGATGGGGATCGGGTAGGTGAGTGGTTTAGCATGGTGAAACTGGGTAGCTTGTCATGTATGAGGGGCTATATTATTAGCTATTCACACGCAGTCCTTTGATCATGACAACAACGTGGGCTTAAAGTCCCCCGCAACCTCTTTCTAATTGTTTTGGCCCCTACCAGGACCCGCCAACGGCTATCAGAGGATGTGTCGAATGACATCATTGTGGCCTACATTATATATTGGGAGGGATAACAATTGCAAATTATGTTTTTTCAATAAAAATAGGGGCATTGAAGATTCCCCCCAGCAAAAAAACACGTTTTTGCTTGTTGTTTTAATAAAGGAGGAACACGCAAAATCCCTGGCAAGCCAGTTGACCCAAGCAATGGTTACCTGAGCCACTGTCGCTGCAAACCCTCTTTCTCCGCCTGTTCATCTATGAAAATAGCACTGCCCGTGGTACGAAGTAGCAACCATAGCTCCAAATTTACCCAAAAGGAACCCAACAGAGGACGGGTAGTGGTTGCTTTGTCCCCCCCACGGCTCCTAGTTTCAGGTAACCCGGTAAGCACACCCAGTGGATTCCAGGCGTTTCGCCACTACAAAGGCAACCATTCGATCCATTTTCCTTGTGGCTTTTCGAGCGTGGAAAGACCTTGGTTAACTACTATATAGGTAGTATCACACACATCTAAGTTCACCATCAATGGGTTGCCTCAATTGACCCCCAGTGGATCCCAGTTGCCCGTATAGTAGGTAGCCAGCTATCTTCTTGTTTTCGACTTTTACATCGAGAATCACTTGAATTTTCCCGGACATCCAATTAGAGGCTAATGTTGACCCCATATTTATCAATAGCGGGGTGTCCCGCGGGTGAAATGTGGGGAATCAGCCCACCCGTGGAGGGGCCAAAAACCGCCCCCCTATCCAAGGGTGAACTTCCCGAAATGGACTCGCGAGGACATGAAGGAGGCGGTGCGTGAGCGTGACGAGTGGCAGGCCGTTGCGCTGCGTTTGTGGAAGCAAAGGGGGTTGTTTCCATACTGGGACCCCTCAACCATCCCCAAAAAGGGAACCCTCAAAATAGGCACACCCAAATAAACCTCAAAATTAGACGCACCCAAACAAACCGCAACGGTTCGTTTTGCCTGTAGGCAGCCACAGTGGTGCTTTCTTTGACTTTTGCAGACGCTTTCCTCCCTTGGGGCTGAACAGCGTGCCCAACCGCCAAGCAATTGACTGGGTTTAAAAAGATCACAACCAGAATTGATGCACGCAAAGGGAAACCAAGAGGGGAACGATAGTTGCTGTATTTCGTTGCAGACTCCCATTTTCATGTAACCCTATGTTGGTGGTGGGCATTTTAACCTGTTGACATATGTTTCCCTGACTAGTGGAGAGTTGGGACACACGGCTGCAGATTTGGGGGCTCAAAATTAAGCCACAATTTACGCAGGGAGTCCATGTTTCCATCGATCAGGGTTCTATTGTGGCTACCATGCTAGGTCCCCCAGTCGTGCCCTTTTACCGTTTTTTGGGGAGGGTTCTCTTACTAAAATAGACTACAGAAAAAAGGGTACCCTTATTCTGACCTCTCTACTGCAGGACCTACCATGTGAGCCACATCCATGTATGGTACTAATCAAGCTGACGAGTTGTCACCATGCAACAGGTGCCTTTTGGACCATTGGTGAATTGCGGCACAAAAGCAGAGGCAGCGTTGAGTCGCCAGGGCGCTCCTGTTGTGTGTGTTTCCGCCTCCAAAGGGTTGAACAGTATGCCTGAAGACAGCAAAAGAATGTGCCCACCAGCCCGAGCAGAAAGGGAGAGAGAGGGAAACCACAATGTTCTATTGTTGACCCCAGATTAATAAACCCCTGTTTATTAATATGGGGGTTCCTGGTTTTAGTGGGGTTTTATCACTTTTGGAGGTGAACTCCCCCATATTAATAAGGAGGGGTTTGTTAATCCGGGGTTCAAATTACCCTTGTGGTGTTGTTCATGTCTTTGAGGCTCGGAGCAACCCTCAAACTTCTGAGAAGGCAAGTTTCAGGCGTTTGCTGGGAGGATGGAGGTCATTTGATAGATGTAGTCCTTTGCAAGCTGACAGAGCATGACGTCGAGCTATGCCCTAAACCCTAAACCCTGAACCCTAAACCCTAAACCCCTTTCCCCGAACACCAAACCTCAAACCTTGTGTGTTCTTTCTTTTTTCGGGGGATTGCCTCCCATGGCCAACGCGTCGGTGCGTTTCCGGGAGGTCGGGCGTTCTTTGAATCTGCTGCGGGAGATTGTTTGGAAGCCCTCCGGAAAATACATAGAAACCCATGGGGTGGACTGAAATCGGTGCCACGGTGCCCAGCCCGCCTTCCATTTGCTGAAATGAATATTGCTGCTAGGTTCCCCTGTTGGTTTTTAAGCAAACATATTTCACTACTGGACATATTTTCTCATTTTTGTCCAATTGGCAGCAGCGAACAGCGACCGAAAGTCGCCTAGCGCAGGTCTCAGCGTTGCGGGTGATGTCGAAGCGGGAGTTCAGATCCAGCGCCGGGCACTCAAAAGCGAAGGGGAACCCGCAAACTAGCCATAAAGAAGGGGAAAGGGGGCAATAAACCATGCTTAACGCAATGTTGAGGGTTTAGGTCATGAGCCATGGTTGGGCAAAAAAAGTGGCCTCCAGTTGTGAATCGCTTTTCCCCGGCAACTTTGAGTGTTCCTAAGGTAAAGTTTCTGGATAGAAAGCAAGAACTTGGCGATCCAGGCTCTCATTCTTGGTCTTTGGAGGGAAGCAACTTTGTTTTCGTGGTGCCAAAGTGAAACCACCCCCAGTGGTTCCAGGCAAGCCACTATAAACAGTGGAATCAGGTGAGTTTTCCTCTTGGTTTTCCCACGGATGGTTCCCTGGTTACCTAGAGTGGCTTGCCCGGAAGCATTTTCCCATGCGCCATCCATTCCCATGGGCCGAAAGGTGAACAGCGGATGCACCTGGGCTTCACCAAGTCTCAGCCGGCAACCCCGAAATCCATTTTGTAGGTAGCCACGGGAATCCATCGATTGAAGAGGTAAGCAATCGCCGACCGGGTTGCGGTTGCCTATTTTTGTGGCACCCGATCGGATAGACCTGCGAACCCTTCAGGATCCTTCAACTTTTCAAGTTGGAGGGTGGCATCCCTTTAGCTGCAAAGGGGACACATGGATCCACAACAGTGGGAAGACCACTTTCGTGCTAGTCGCAAGAAGTGCGGCTTCCGCTTTTTGTTGGGCCCATCCACTCGATGGGAAGTGGTTACACCCACGAGTCCCGCGGCACTCGCTTGCTGACGTCCCTCTTCAAGCCACCAGATGGAAACCACCCGCCGGTTGTTGGGAAGGAACCGGTTTTGGTTGGATTCCCGAAAACCCAAAAAAACAACGCAAAGCGGAGGGTCTCTTTTGAAGGAAATCAAATGGAATCCATGGTTATTCTGGGTTGGTCATTCCATGTCTTCCCTAAACCTGACCCAGGGTTTTGGGAATGAACCTGCAGATTTCCTTAGGGTCCACCAGCCGGGTGTTGCCGAACAATGAACCAGTTTTGGTTGGATTCCCAAAAACAAAACAAACAAGAATCGGATGGACAGTTTTCTCCGGGTCATTTCATTTCTCATTCCCTGCCTATCAAACCTTTTGCAGTTTTCCGGGATTGCATTCCTGGCTTCCAGGATGGTGAAAGGAAACCAGGAAACCACCAGTTGGAAACCACCCGCCGGGTGTTGCCGAAAACCAAAGAAAAACCAACTCGGATGGTCCCCCTTTCGAAGGAAACCGCTAGTTGGATGGTTTGGGCTCTTTCCATTTCTCCATTTCTACCAGGGTGTTGGGAATTTCTAGCAGGGTTTCGGTTGGATTCCCGAAAGGAAACCAAATGGGATGGATGGTTTAGCTCGTCTTTCCATTTCTCCTTCCCTGCGCAACTAAGCAACTCGGATGGACCAGTTTTGATTCCCGAAAACCAGGAAAGGGTTTTGGTTGGATTCCCAAAAACCAAGGGAACACAAACTCGCTCTTTGGATGGTGTCGGATGGAAAGAATGGATGGAAATGGACATGTTGGGAATGGGAATCGGAATCGGATGTACTCAGCAACTCGGATGGACCAGTTTTGGTTGGATTCCCGAAAAGAACAAGCAGCTAAGCAACTCGGAATCGGATGTCGCAACTCTTTCCAACTGCCCATCTGGCAGGTGGAAGCCTTGGAGGCGGCCCGGCGAAGGCCACGAGAGCCGATCGAACATGTTGTCGGCGAATCCTCGTCCCAAAGGCTATGCCAGTCGGGTTTCTACGGCTTTAAAAAGGGGGAGCCAAAAAGGAAAACCGCGGTGTTTGTGCTATTTCCATGTTTGTTTGTCTCCTTCTTCCGTGTTTGTTTTCTTCTTTTTTTGCGAGGGGGAGGGGAAATCTCAAGAAGTACACACCCATTTCCCTGTCGATATCTAATGGATCATGCTATCAAGCAGTACTTTCTCTGTATGCTTGGCTTTTCACGACCAAAGATTTCGCCGGACTGGCTCTTCAAAGTCTTTCGGCAAGTTCAATCAACAACTATCCAAATGGGTGTGTTTTCTTTGAGTGTGCCCCCTTTTTTGTGGTCTTGATGCGACGCCACAATCAAAACCAGGCATGTTTGGGGGCCCCCTAAAAAGGACCCGTCTTTCCGATCGGCTCGTCTTTCCGAAGGTCCTTCAGCCTGGGAGACTCTGGGAGCTTCCATTGGTGGAAAGAGGAAACTGAGTGGCTGGACGAAAAGGAAGCCACTAGAAAGAAAAAGGCAAAGAAAGCAACAACTCACTTCCTGACATACGTGTTGAGAAGACCATGTTGGTGGTAACCAAACAGTTTGGACTTTTTCTGGCAAATCCTCTCAAGCATTCTTCGGTCCTTTTAAAGTGACCGTGAGTTTCCGGTTTGGGTGATTGCTGGCTATGAACAATATATGTTTGATGTTCGGGGCCAGGGCAAACGTGGCGCCGTTTTATGTATGGCCCTTCACGCTTGACGGCATGACGAAGAATCTCTAGGTCCCCAGTATGTAGTGCCCTTTCTCGCCAACTTTTTTGAGGGATTCCCCTATACTAAAATAGGCTACAGAAAAAAAGTTGGTACCCTTATTCTAGGCTCTCTACTGGACCTAGATGTGCTCAAAGGAGAGCGGCAGATTGCTGGATGGTTGCACAGGCAGCGTGGTCGCCTTGCTCTTGAGCTCATGGCTCAGGTCGTTTGGTTGCAGGTGCTTCACCTTTGCTTCTGGTGCTCTCGGGCAATCGAAGATAGGGTTCTCTACATTTGCCTTTTCGGGCAGTTTGAGCCGCAAATTTGGCTTGCCACTTGATGAGTTTCCCGTGGCAAAGGGGAACATAGCGATCCCAAACCATCGTTTTGTGAGTCTGTTTTCGGGGGGTGTCTTAATTCGCATGGTTTTCGCATGGCAACCACAAAAAAAGCCAACCGTTTTGGTTCGGGCCCCCAAGAGGGATGTACTGGCAGGTGCCTACCACTTAGGGGCTTTGTGGCTTGCAACTGTGGTAGATAGGTGACAAGGGTTCTTAACCGCTGCTAGAAGTACGATGCGAATTGTGCCATCTACTTTCGCACTGTACCCTGCCCCAACTACCCCCGAAATCTCCAAACTCCCCTGTTTTTGTGTGGCATTTCTGAAAACCGCCTGGTTTTCTATGGTAAACGCCTCCCTTTGTTTGGTAGAGGCTTGGTTGACCAGATACCCTACTAGGTCCTCCAGTAGTGCCCTTTCTCACCAACTTTTTGAGGGAGGGTTCCAGTACTAAAATAGATAAGAACAAATGGTACCCTTTTTCCAACCTGGAGGACCTAGCCTAAAACATGCGCTGGTTTTTACTTCTGTGGGTAGATCTCGGGTTTCCTGCGGGTGGAGTTTCTCGGCGTCAGGCCGCTACCGCCCTAAGCTCTCTGAAGCAGGCAGGCGCTTTTGTCTATCCGCCCGCGGGGGGTTGATGCAAGGTCCCCGTTGATGCCTCGCAGAGCTTCCTTCCAAGCAACTGTAGGTAACGAGGTGATTTTGCCTCTTGATTTTACCTTGGCGGCTGCCAGCCGGCCGGCTGTTTAGGCTTTTGGACTTTTAGGTGGCGTAGTGAGGGGTTCCATTGAACACACTAAAGGTTAAACTGCTAGCAGGGGATTTGAGGACAGCCCAGCCATGAAGACTCACCCCTGCTCGGAGGGGCGTTTCGCCTGGAAGCACTGGGCCTCTGCACTCTGCAAGGGTCCAAGACCTCAAGCCCTGAAGCGAAGTAGCGAGAAAACCGAGGGCCTGATTTTGGGCCTGATTTTGGATACTCAAACTTGACATGGTATCCAAGTCCAAGTGGGTCAAAACAAAACCAAAACGTGGAGCTAGGAGCTCTACCCACTTGGACCACAAGCGTAAGACGGCACAAGACCTACGGAAACCTGTTCAACCATGTTGGCAGAAGCAAACGCCATGATGTCTGCTCAAGTAGCAAGACGCCCGCGGAGCCGTTCGGCAAGAAAATGTTCGGGTGTGTCATTGTATAAAAGGGCTGTGGCTCAGAAAAGTGGAACCCATTTTTGGGCCCTTGGGATGGAAACAAAGACCAAACATGCGTCACCCCAGCCCTTAATTTTTGAGCCACACCCAAATGTTTTTCATTTTCCACAGGCTTGGGAGGTAGAATCCGCCGGGCTGTCAGGCCCTTGGCATGAGCACCGCCTGAGCGCGCGAGCGCTGAGGGGCAAAGCTTCCCCGGAGCGCCGTGATCATATGGGGATCCCTGTCAGATGTATCAAACTTGACCAAAAGTCAGCTATCTAAGTCTCAGTTGCCCAAAGCGATTCCACCTTTAGAGCTTTTGGTCTTCCTTTGGTCCATGTTGGGTCATGGTTCCAAAAGATGATCACCTGTTATTTCCAGGTCCTTTGGGCAACTGAGTTTGGCCTTACCGGTGGGTTTGATTTTTCGTCATAATTCGTAATTGGTAGCCGCATGGGAGCGCCGCATGCCAATGAGCCGAAAAAAAAAGAGGTGCGAATCCACAAGGCAGTGGGTTAGACCCACTGTCCGGATTGCAAGGACAGCCACCGGGGTAAATCCTTGAAGAGTTGGGACACGGTTAAGCCAATCTTGTTTCAAGAGCCTCCTTCTTGGTATCCCTTTGACGCGCACCGGCTCAGCTGAATAGGGCCCTTGCAGGATCCACGTACGGCTGGCTAGCGGCAAGTGGAGTCCTTGGCTTGGACAATCCAACCTTGTTTTCCAGCCACTGGCGCGTGGCTTTGAGTGAGCAAAACTCTTTTTGTTGCCTATTTCTCTACTCACCCTCCTCCATTTTGGCTGAGTAGAAAACATCCTCACTATTGTTGAATTTTGCTTCATCCTGCACGAACCCTCCGTTTTGCTTGTCCCTGCATGTGATCATCCGATTTGCGGGACAGACACCCCCCGAATCGAAGCCGCTCGGGTGTTCAACGGGCCGATCAATTGGCCCAGACTCCAGCGCACCCGCTGACTTGGCTCCAGATCGCGGATGAACTGCCTACATATCCGAAGAGTCTCGGCTATGCACTCGATCAGAAGCACAGCTCACTTGGTGCCAGGTACCATGAGGGTCATGAGCCCCACCAATGGAGAACCCTGAAAATTGTGGGGGGGGCTTGAAAACACTTCCGGTCTTGGATTCGACTTTTCGTGTATACCAGGTAACCAACCCCTCTAAACCTCAAAAGGGCAATGTTGGGGGTGGGAATGCTCTCTCAATGGGATCGCTTGAGGCATTTGGGCTATATGGCCAAGCAGGGTGTGTCTGGGGATGGGCTCGAAGCGTGAACCTGAAAGGAATGCAAAAGGTGTTTTTTGGGGGATCCTGCTGGGTAAGGGAAATGGTCATGCTCGGTCCGGGTCTAATCCATGGATTGTGGCTTCGGCTCCTGAATATCACGAGTGTTTTCTTGGTGGCTCCCAGCCATCCCCTTAGCTTTTTAGACTTTTCACCCACTACTAAAAGTGGCATAGTTTCCATTTCACCCACTAAACGTTAGTCGCTTTTTAGCGGGGGATCCGAGGCCCAGAGTTGAGATCAGTCAAAGCAACTCGGGGTGCAGCTTCGAGTTCTGCAGACGTCGGCGCGCGTTGGCAGCCCCAAAACGGCGAAAGGTAAAACCCGACAGACGCGACTTCGGCCGCTAGGGTGCGGCCATTTGGAGGGCAAGCTTGGCATGGCCAGGGATCCATGTTTTTTCCTATGGCTCATTTTTGACAGACTGAAGTCACCCAATGAGTCCATTTCCCGGGCTTTTTTTGGGTAAGGGAACCACGCGGAAAAAAGTATCCCAAAGGAACATGCATCAAAGGGGTGCCTTGTGGCTTGCCGGCTTCCCGGCTTGAAGATCGGGATCCACTAGGTCGTAGCTTGAGGGCTCAGGCACATAGTATGTTGACTTACAGGTTCACGAATTCTCAGCTGAGCTCAAAACCCGGGTAGATGAAGGTTAGTAAGGGACAATCCCAACCATAAATGGCTGCGGCCGGCTTCTTAATTCTTTACATGGTTCTGGGTCGACAATTTTAATACCGGGTTTGATTATGACTCAGTTGTTCAAATCCGACCTTTTGACCTTTCGGTTTCCACCTTTGGGTGCCATTTGTTGTCATGGCCCCCGAAAGGTTAAGGCGACGCCTTTTCACTACCACCCCAAATACCCGCATTTTTAGGGCATTTCTTTGGAAAGCCTGTTTTTCCACCGTAAATAGCTCCTTCTTTAGTGAAGGCTCGAAATCATACCCTGATAATAGTGGGTTTTCTGCGTAGGGGGTAAGAATGTCATATTCAATACTTGTTTTTTTTGCTTAGGGCTTAGGGCTTCAATCGATTGAAGAGCATAGGCCACTGCATGGATCGCCTGCTTCGCCCGAGGATAGCGAACTACCCTTTCCTGTCTTTGTGCTCGCGCACAACCTTTGCCGCTGTGGCGGCAATCACTTTGCGCTTTGCTTCCATGTCAATGTGAGGCATTGTGCGTGTTTCTCTTCATACTGTGGATGGGCAAAATCCTGCACCACTTTGCAATCGTGGGACACCAGTGTTTGTTGGTATTTACAGGGGCATCATTATTCCAGGGTTTCTTAGGTAGTGCGAAATGGATTTCGTCCACAGTAGGTCACTGAGGTATGACATGTGTTCGTACATACCCGGATGCCTGCGCCCCAAAGAATTCTCGCAGGGCGGAGCGCTAGAGGACCCTTGACAGGGGATATGGTGGACCCTTGGGTTTGGTTCCTCCAGTTCGGGGTGGGGAGGTAAACATTTCGAACACATTCGTGAGCTTTTGGCTGTGCCCTGTCAAATGGAACCTTGGTTTATTTTTGACCCATACCCATGCAAGTCTGCCAAGCCTGCTTTGGTGTTCAGCCTGGCATCAAGTCTATCAAAACTCGATTTGGGCAGTTAGATTTGGTGCCAATCCCTTTGCAAAGAAATGCGCGGCGAGTTATGGTTCATGTCAACGACTTTAGGATCAGCAGTTTGATTCTGCCTGAACAACACCTGGCAGGTTTGGCTTTGGTCCGTCGTGGCAGACGGCCCGGCAAAAAACACGCGCCGCATCGTCTCCTTCAAGCGGCCGGTTTTTGCCAGCTCGTGAAGCCGAAATTCAGTGTCTCAAATACACCCAGACCAGACTCAGGGATGGTTCCCCTTCTGGTTGCATCCGCAACATTGCTCCTTCCAGTACTTCCAGGCAAGCCTTACAGAAAGCAACCAGAAGAACCCATGGTAAAAAAAAAACTCCTCGAGGTACAGATACCCTGAAGGGGGCCCTTCAGGCTACTGTCGAAGCGAAGCGGCAAAACACTTGCGGCTTGCGCTATGCCCACCGAGGCCGTTTCTGAAGCTAAGATGTTTGCCAGCAGCCTCTGGCAGGCGGATGGTCTCGTCGATTCCGTGGGGTTAGCTTCCCGAGCTGTTTGGTTTGGAGTCGAATCGGTGGTTTGTTGGTTGAAACGAAGGGGCTCTACAAAACTTGGTGTCTCCCAGCCATCCCCTTAGCCTTTTAGCTTTTTAGTGTTTAGTGGGGAATTTCATTTAACCCACTAAAAGTTAAACTTTTAGCGGGGGATCTGAGGACAGCCTGGAAAAGGGGGTGAAACTCCCAAACCACCAATCCAAAAGACCAGCTGTAAGGGGCACCTGAGTCGGATGCGGGGCTTCTGTGGACCGAGAGATGCTGCCTGTTCTTTTTCTGGTCCATCCACTCAGGAAGTGAGCTGCTGGCGGTTGTTTTCTTTTCGGGGCAAAGTTGAAGGACTTGTCGGGGTTGTTTACAGGAAATCTCAAAGCAAACCAAGAGGTCCTCTACATGCATTGGGGAAAACCACAAAAAAAGCAGGATATGTCCCACATGGTTGAAAAGTTACTAATGGTCAAAACTGCGGGCCGAGCGGAATAGTGATCAAGCACCAAATTGGAAAGAGAAAACAAGCCTCGTTCAGGGTTCATGCTTGCTTTGGAAGGGTAGGAATTGTCTTTCAGGTTGGTGAATGAAATTCATGTCTTGCTCTTCGAGTTCCGTTTCGGACTGAAACACCATTCTGAGGCTTGGTTGCCATTTTAGTGGCAAACAACAAGTCTGGTTACTTGGTTTGGCCTTTTCAACAAGAGTTTGGCGACTTTTTGGCCCATCCGCTCGATCGGAAGTGAGATGATGTGCGCAGAACCAACCACGGCTATCAAATGGTTTGTCAAGTGCCCCTCGACCCCAAAGCGGCCCAGCCGTATTTTAGGGGCACTAAAAAAGGGTGCTTCCCTTTAAAACCACACCAAAAAGGGTACCCGCAAATGGGTACCTTCAAAAAAACACACACACCCATATATAGCTATGATGTTCAATTTCAGAACAACCTCCAAAGTTGAGCTCCCACCCTAAATGATGTCCACCAGAGGGTCTCCAATCAAGACTCATGCCAATCCAGTGGACACCAGTTCTTTGAAAGATCCCATGCCCACCGAAGGCGTTTGTACAATGGAGGGGTATTTACTTTAGGATTTATTCGTGTTTTTTTTCTTTGTTTTTCTTGTTTCGCTTTTGGCTTCTTGGCTGTTCGGCTTCTTTCTTGGCTTCGCTGGTTTATGCAGCTTTTGGTGGCTTTGGCTTTTCGCATCCTCTGCTTTCCCAGTTCCTCTCCGGTTCATTGGTTTTTGGCTTTGGCTCCCCGCATCCTCAGCATTATCAGTCCCTTCCTATTTGAATCATCACTTCTTCAAACATCATGGGGGGGGCTGCCCAACCCCCCGCAACTTTTTGGATTGTTTGCAAAGATTTGATTGCACCCCTATTTGAATCATGACTTCTTCAAACATCATGGGCGGGGGCTGCCGCCTCCCCCGCCCAACCCCCGCTACTTTGTAGATTTCTTGCAGAGATTTAATTGCACCCCTATTTGGTTCATCACTTTTTCGAGCATCCAATTTCGCGAGACAATGCTGTAAAATACGACATTTTATGTAGTCTATGTAATCTATATTATCTATGTATGTTTGTATGTATGCACTTGATCGAGATCATACGGGAAGCCACCCCCGCCAACCCTCCCGCTGCTTTTTATATTCTATCGCACCCCTTTCTTGAATCATCACTTCCACGAACATCATGAAGGGGCCGCCGCTCCCCCAACCCCCCCAGCTTTTTTTAGATTTTTTGCAGAGATTTAATTGCACCTTCTGCAAAATCATGGGGGGGAGCTGCCGCCCCCCCCCCCCCCTGCAATTTGTTTGATTTGCTTTGCAGCGAGTGAAATGCCCTCCTATTTGAAGCATCATTTTTCGACCCCATCTGGAAAGAATGGAAGGTACCCCTACGCAGAAAGATAATTTTCGTTTACAACCCGGGTCAAAAAGAGAGCGACCACCCACAGGGCCCCCTGACCCTTACAGCCCACGGCTCCCCGTGATACTTTTTTTTGAGGGTACCCCTTTTCGGTTGGCTTCAAAGGGAAACCAAAGGGGAAAGCCACCATTTTGGGGGGTCCCCTAACAAAGACACACCCATATGGGCTTTGCCAAATTGGTGATCCCCTAAATGGTTGGTTTGTATTCATTTTCCCTTTGACCACCATCCAAAAGAGAGTCCAACTCCCATTTTGAGATTTCAACACCCATGGTATTTTCCACCGAAATTGTGGCGACCCATATGTTTCAAAGAACGCATAGCCATTCATGAAGGTTCCACTTCGGTAAGTTGACCCTTGGTACCAAAGCAACCTCCAAAGACGCCCCCCACACTGATGGACAAAATCCATTCCGCGCCGATGGATCAAAACAAACCACCTGCCAATTGGTGCGTGGCGGATGTGGATTTGGGAATATTTGGAACATCACCCTCAGGGTCCGATCGATGGATTTTTGCTTCGGCTCAGCACCTCGGGGTGATGTGCGGCTTCAAAAACCTTCGGGTTCTGCATACGTCGCCCCGATCGGAAGCTTGCCGGGGAGAAGCGAAATACCTGCACACGAAATGAAACCGTGGTTGAAACCATAACGTTTGTTGGTGTGTACTGGCGACTCGAATCACTCCGTTGGGTTTGTGAACAGTGGTGTGAAATGGAGTTCGCAATCATCCACAGAAGGCTGACTCCGTCGTTCCTGGACTGTACACTTTTTGCATTGGACCATTGTAGTGGTAAACACACAATTTAGACTTTGTGGCCCATCGACTCAGGAACAAGGGAAACGCTGGTTACCTAGTGTAGTGGTAAACTGAGTAGGATCCACTGAACATATGATGGCAGTGGAAAGTGTTGACACCATATTAATCAACCCTCAGTCCATTAATAGGGGGGGGTGTCCCTGGGTGAAATGTGGGGAATCAAACCACTTCTGGAGGGGCCCCCGCTCCACCCCCCCCAAATAAACTGGGGCTCGTTTCTCGTCCGACTCGGAGTCGAGGTGCAGCGCTTGCTGCATGGCTCCACCAGCCACGTACTACTGCCCGTGGGCCTGGTGGCGGTGGCTGCTGTCCTGGTTCTCTACAAGCACTCGCAGGCGGAGCATTCGTCCGAACCACGAAGGGGGGGGGGGAATGCTGACCCCATATGTTTTGTTGAGGGTAGCCTGTTTGTTTGGATTAACCATTTTGTGCGTGGTCTGAAATGAAGACACGCCGTTCTGAATTCCAAAAAATATTCCCAAACGCTACCAATAAAACAGCCGAGCGGGGTGTTGTCACAGATCCCACGGTTTAGGACGCACGTGTGGTTTGATTGAGAAATTCCAGATCCGCAGCCCGGGCAGCATAAACGAGCGAGTTTGTTTCGAGGTTTGGACATGCGTTTCGCATGGATGCAGTCCATGACATGCACGGTGAAACGTTTGTGCTAATCATTTGCTGGCAGCAAAGTCTTTGACGTGTGCAGTGGAGCTTACTTGTCATTGGCTGGTGGGAGAACAGTTCATGACGTGCACAAAAGAGAAGCCTGCACTTTGAGCTTGCAGAATGCAGAAGACAAGCAAAGCAAAATAGAAAAACAACAAGCGAGTTGTCTTGAGGGCTTCACATTTCAGAAGCAGGCTCCCTGAAAATCGCGGGTCTTGGCGTTGTTCAGTGGCATCCGAAATGGAATCAACCCGAACAGGTTCCGGCACGCAGCTCGGGTGTGAATATCGAAGGCTTTGAATTATAGGGAGCCCCTCAGAAATGAGACATGACTTCCCCTGTCCACGGCGTGCCTGGAACATCCGAGTGTTGCTGTCGGCAAAGAACACAGCTTTCGGGGAATGCTAAACACGGCCGACCTTTTGACCCTTTGGTTTTGTCCATTCTTAGTCATGCCCTAAAAGGTGAAACCTTTTATCAACTGAGGAAAGTGGAGGCAGGGAAAAAGAAAGGTTTTGGATCAGTCAGATGCAAGGGCCCCCTTTTGAACCACTTCGGGCGGCCGACTTTTTCGCAGCACAGCCGTTCCTGGAGTCTTGGCAAGCCTTTAGTTCTAAGATGGGTTCCACTACCCCTCAACCAAAGCTATCCGCAGGGTAAATTCGGATACATGCCATGGAAGTGTCCATCGTCTCCAAAAGGGAAGCCGCTCTCCAGGGGGTTCAGTGGAATTACAAAGGTCCATGTTCCTGTGTGTCCTTTTGTGGGGATGACGAAACAATCGGAATCTTGCGTTGTTTTTTTTTGCCTTGTTGTTATTGTCGGAGGACCCAGCGTTTATTGAATTTGCCGTGGAAGGATGCCCGCAAACAGACATTTTTGCAGGATGACAGCGGCGGAGATCCGACCAAGACCTTCCTGGCATTGATGCTTGGCACCACGCAACCGGGGTGCGAAGGACCCTTCAGCTGTTTGCATTGTACTAGGAAATCTTGACTGATCTAGAGAAAGGGTTCTTTTTTCCTCGAGAGGGTTTCCCCGGGCCTCTCTTGGTACTGAAATGCCCTACTTGTAGAGGGCATCCTCAAGAGCAATGCGACTGGAAGTCTTCGGCGCAAGCGCAGCCCAGGTCTCAAGGGGGCTTCATGGGCCACTTGAATCGGGGTTTATCAAAAGGTCCGCGATACATGACCATTGGTTGGAAAACCATCAAATAAATAGATTTGATATATTTCAACTACATGGTTGAAAAGCTACCCATGGTCGAACAACTGAGCGCAGAAGGGAATATTGATCAAGCCCCACATGACAGAGTACTAAGCAAGTGGCTAGTGAGCGTGGCAGTTGCTAGTAACTAAGTAATTGTAAGTCCCCTTTGTTGGGTTCACACTCTGGCCCCTTCAGCTAAATGTAACCCTGATTGGAACTTCCCATTGGTGATGACTATTTGTGGAATGACTATTTGTGGAATGACTATTTGTGGAATCCCTAAAGGGGGTTCATCTTTAAGTCAAGGTTCCAAAAGGTGATCATCTTCAATTTCTGGGTCTAAGCTGGGCAACTGAGCATGTTTGTTTTTCTTCCCGAGTCCCAACCTCCACCCCCCGATGGCCCTTTGTTTTGCTGCAAAATGACCCAGGAAAATCATGACCCCCAAATTCTGGTTACTCAGCCCTGACATACCTTGCCCCTTGCAGGCTTCTTAGTTTGGGATCCGAGACTCGAACCTGACTCGGAGTTTGGACAGGAGGTGAGTCACAAACAAAACCCGGGGAAGTGAAGGTTAGTAAAAGACAGACGCAACCAGAAATAGCTGCGGCCACCTTCTTTATTCTTTAAATGGTTCTTGGTCGACCATTTTAATACTTGATATTTTAATAAGGGATCGGACATGAACTTGCGATTCCTACTTGGAGAACCTCTCACTTCTGGGTATGATGTTTGGAAAATCCCGACGAATGTCACCAGGATGCGCTTACCGTTGCCGATCTTGGGATCCACTGGAATATCTATAATCACACATCCACACCTGTGGAAGACAATATGGCACCCCCTTTTTCAGTACGGAAATCCCACCGGCAGTCTGCCATAAAACCCAAAGAAGGCAAACAAACCAATGACAACACCAGCTGCCATGGTGCTAGGACCACATACTGGTGCCAGCGACCTTCCCCCAGCAAGTAGTTGGAGGCTGCACTTTTGCTTGATGTGGGAGTTCTCTATGTGGCTCCTTTTTGTTCGAAGCGGCAAAAGAAACCAGTGATTTGTGCAGGGATTTGCGGGGGCAGTTTTGCAGTAAGGAATTCAAGGAGCCCTATTACTCGACTTGTCAACCTCATAACCAACCCCCCTACAGCCCCTTTGACAAGCCAAGCAAGGAACCGTGAGGAACCCAAAGGAACCCCAAAAGTTCCGGTGGACTCCCAATTTCCAAATTTACAGAAGGAACCCAGTAGTGCTGCCCCCAAAGCTTGGTCAATGGCATTTTGTATGCAAATCAAGCCCAGGTTGACAGTCCTTTCGGGGAAGGGTTGTAGACGTGTGTGTGTGTGTGTAAGCGTGTTAGTGTTTTAGGGTACCCTTTTTATGGAGGTTGATTTGAACGGAAGCCAAAAGGAAGCCATCCAATGTATTGTCCCCTATTTGGAAACCTCCAGCTTGGACCCGGGCTCTCCACATGAATCGAATCGATCCCGAGGATTGTAGTGCAAATGCTTCCCTTGGTCTTCCTGGAGAAGCAGCTCGGCATCCAGTGGGCCTCACCAAAGGTGTTGGAAGGTCCTCTTGGCTGTGTGTGTGTGTGCGGATGTGTGTTTGTTTGCTTGATTGCTTGTTTGTTTGTCGCGTTGTTTATGTGCTTATTTTTTGTTTGTTTTGTTTGTTTGTTTGTGTGTGTGCTTGCTTGCTTGCTTGCTTGCTTGCTTGCTTGCTTGCTTGCTTGCTTGCTTGCTTGCTTGCTTGCTTGCTTGCTTGCTTGCTTTGCTTTTGTTTGTTTGTTTGTTTGTTTGTTTGTTTGTTTGTTTGTGTGCTTGCTTGCTTGCTTGCTTGCTTGCTTGCTTGCTTGCTTGCTTGCTTGCTTGCTTGCTTTCTTGCTTGCTTTCTTGCTTGCTTGCTTGCTTGCTTGCTTGCTTGCTTGCTTGCTTGCTTGCTTGCTTGCTTGTTTGCTTGCTTGCTTGCTTGTCTGCTTGCTTTGCTTGCTTGCTTGTTTGTCTGCTTGCTTTGCTTGCTTTGCTTTGCTTTGCTTTGCTTTGCTTTGCTTTGCTTTGCTTTGCTTTGCTTGCTTGCTTTGCCCATTCAAGTAGTTTTATTTTGTGGGTTACAGGCAGAAACAGGCCCATTGGGATCCAGCTAGTATCCAGGAGTCGCCAGGTCATAAGTCTGCCTCTGCCTGGCGAGCTCTCAACAATTCGGGGGTTACATGAGCTGCAACTGGACGCACTGGGCCAGGTGCTGTGCAGCAGTGGATCCCAGCTACCCTACAATAAATGTTAAGCCCGGATAACTCAACTCCTCCTTTTCTATAAGGGGGGGTTTCCCTCCAAAAGTCAGAAAGTCTCCCAAAAGAAGGACAATCCCCTCAAAACTCCACATCAGGGGTCAACATTAGTGGATTGGCCTACATACTCTACTTGGATCTTTAGACTTTAGCTTTTTGGATTCCTTTTGACCAGCAAATACTTTACTTTTTGCTCGGGGATCTACAGCACCCAATAGTAGTAACTGGAAGCGCCGGGCAACGTGACAGTGCATCCCAGTCTGCGGGTTGAAGGATTCTGGTCCCGCAAGAAGACGTACGTCCTGGTTCGAAGGGTCATGGAGACTCCAGGTTCCCTTTTGGGGTTGGCTGTTGTTGGGAAACCGGAAACACAAACGGACATCGACACGTTTGGGCGCGCCCCGATGTTGAGACACACCCGTACGGGTCTGTCTTTTTTAGGGGACTCTCTGCCCCCCCCGCACAAAAAAAGGGTTTCCCCTTGGTTTCCCTTTAAAGCAGACCAAAAACAAGGTTCCCTCAAAAAAGACAGAGCCAGATCCTTTTTCATATTCAGAAACCACACCTGAACATCGAGGCAACCCCCAGCCCATGGGGCAGGGGACGGGTTTGCTTCCAGATGGAGCACCACCCAAGAAACCTTGCAATGATTCAGTTCCCCGAGGTAAGTACCGTAGCAAGCGCCATGGTTTCAACCATGGGTTTCATGAGCCGTGGTGCGAGCGGCTTTCGCCGCCGCAGATCACTTGCTGACATTTGCTGGAATGAATGTTTTACATGCTCCTTTCTTTGTGTTTTTTCTATCACTACTGGCTAGGTCCCCCCCTACTAAAATAGAATGCAGAGAAAAAGGGTACTCTTACTCTAACCCCCTAGTGGAGGACCTAGCTGGAGATTTCTCATTTCCAGGGGGCGAAAAGCGGCTGGAAGCTCGGAGACATGCGAGGCAAATCCTCTCGTGCCCGGACCCTGTGGCCATGCTCTCGCGCTTCGGCGCCAAGGCCGGGTTTTGGCCACCAGGGTTTTTTCAGATCACCGCGCTCCGGCGCCTTGTTTTTTTTTTGGGGGGGGGTTCTTCTTTCTTTCTTTTTTATTTGGGGGGGGGGTGTGGGCCAAAGTGAGAAAGACATATTTTGTCTTTTCTGCGCCTTTTTTGTGAGGTCAATGTCTTGTGGGTAGTCGGAGCAACACACATGTCTCGGGCTTTGTCGTGGGTCCAAGAGCTTGCCAGGGACCCTTTGCCGCCTTTTGGGATTTTGGCATCCAGCTTCCGGAAGAAAAAGGAATGCGATGCTTCTGGGGGGCCTTTATGGATGGGGGGGGGGTTGTCTTGAGCCCTTGATGGCACGGGAATCCTGAAAGCTAAGACGAAAATGGCTGTTCAGCCAATTTCCTGGATCCCGCTTACCATTCTTGTGTGGGAATGCAGGAAAATCTTAAGGGGTCTGCTAAAAGGTCTAATTTCGCAGTGGTTCAGTGGCACCATTATGAAGGTGTTCTTGTTTCGTATCCCAGTGCACTGCTCGATTCCCCTCCATAGGTCATCAGCCAGTTTCCCATGTCGTTTTTGGACAGCTTCCCTTGGATACCTGCCGAAATCGGGAAAAATTACGCTGGGTATGCCTGAAACCGTTCAACCCGCAAAACAAGTCGCCACGGGTTCAACGCCCCTTCACGTTTTCTGCACCCTGCGGCCACGACGTTCCTCTTCGGCGCCGCTTTCTCGAGCGAGCGGAAGCGCTGGAGCCGGGAAGATCACGCGGCGGCGCCATGTCGACGCCGTTCCTGGTGGGGACATGGAAGGGCCGCGGCCGCGTGCTGCCCAAAGGCTGGCTGCGGCCCAGGGGTGCGCGTTTGCTTTTTGTTTTGGGCGCAATTGAATCGACGGAAACCCGGGACCCACGCAAAATTGGTGGCATCGTTTAAACAGCGGCCCCCTATCAAATGCCCCTTCGAAGGGAAGCCACAAGAGGGGTTGTTTAAAGGGGTTTAAAGGGCCCAACCTTGCACACCAGGACATGGCTGAAGCTGTGGTTGTGTGGGTTTCATGTTGGGATGTTTCAAGGAGCTCACCGATCTGGGGTTACGAGCGGGCCGAATCCGTTTGGAGGATTCCCTGGCTCCGAAGACGTCAATCTAGAGCAATGCGCTTTATTTGGGCCAGGTTTCCATCTGAGTTTAAGACCCGCGTTCTCGGGATTGCTGGGCCAGTCATCAACCTTCAAGGGTTTTTAGACAACCATCCCAAGAGTTTCTAAGGGGGCCATGGCTATGGCACATCTATGGGCGTGTCTTGAAATCCGGCATCCCAAATGGTGGGCGTCATAAATTTACGTGCCTTTGAGGCCTACGAAAAGCGGGTCTCCCAAACAGACAATGAAGGTTCTTCATAGCGACAGGGCCTGCGGGCGGATGTTCCTAGTCACAGAATGGGAAAACCGGGGCATCTTGAACCTGGGTTTCCATGAAGCCCCCGAGTTTCATTTTTTTTTGAGGGGGTTACAGTACCCTTCTTGGATGGTTTTAAAGGGAAACTAAGAGCAATCACATTTTTGGGGGTCTAGAATTCGACACACCCTCCGAGGCAAATCGTTTCCAGAGGGCAGTGTCGGCGTTGCGCAAAGGCCTTTTCCACGACTAACCCCGCCTCCTGGTATTTGGAGAAACCAGAGCCCGGCGCGCTGGCAGAAGGGAAGCCAACCCCCAACCCAGAAGCGGGGAAGACCTGATGTCCGCTTAGGAAACCTTACAAGACGTGTGTTGGACAAAATCCGCTTCGTAGTGGGGAAATGCCAAGGGTTCAAGCAGAACTATTCATTGCTGGGTGGCGGTTTCTGCCACTCATTTACCAGGGAAACCCATCGATTTCTCCAAAAGGTCAATGTTCACTTAAGGTTTTCATCCACCTGGTAGTAGGGATCCTTAACAACCATAATAATCATTCCCATGGGAACCAATCCTAACAGTCATCCTAGAAATCCTGTTCATTCCGCTAGGGAACCATGACCCCGTCAGCCAAAGAAGAGCGGAGTTTGGACCATCGGCACATGTGGTTCTGTCATTTTTAGGGGACCCTGCAAATTGGTGGTGTTCCTTTCGGTTTTCCCGGGAAAAAAAAAACAAAACAAAAAAAACAGGGGGGTACCAACTCGCAAAACCGACACAGCCGTTCTATGGCTATCGCGGCTTGGGGTTTGAGAGGACCGGAGTACCTGGAGACGTCCACCTTTCTCCTCCTCAGGACATCAGGGCCGGAAAAGGAGGGAGAGGGCCTACCTGGCGGATCCGCCCTTATTGTGAAGCAAGTAGCAAGACAAACACAAAGAAATGAAAAAACAACAACTGTGGCGGGGGATGGGGGGAGGTGAGTATTGAGACGTGAGGGATTGCTATAGATTCCTTGGATGGTTTCAACTTCAATCATCAGGGGATTTGGCGTGGTTTCTTTTGTGGTTCCTTTGCAGCCAGCTTTGGGGCAAACCTGGAAATGGAAACCGAGTGCAGGGAGCAACGGAAGCAGGCTTGGGGATCCACTTGGAGCCCAAATTGACTATACAAAGCTGTCTTCGACTTAAGTGGTTCCAACACATGGCAACCCGCTTCCCTGTAGCACAAATGGTTGAAATGAATCTAGGGGTTGATGTCCCATTCGTTCCAACTATCAGTCTGTCCAACAAACAGCCAGCTTCCCTGGGTTGCCGGAGGTCTTCTAGAAAGAAGGACCCCTGGACAGAATCGGGTAATTCCCCGAAAGTGCACAACTAGTAGCTAGGGTGTATAAAGTCAGGGTACTTAGACACTGGTGAGCACCCAGGTTTGTAAACCCACTGGGACTCTCCCATGTTCAACCATGGCGCGTGGCTCAGAAAATCGCGGTTTCCCAAAGGGTCCGATCAAGGCCTGGTATGCAGAACCCAGGGGTCCCTGCACCCGAAGCTGCTTTATGGGTCTTATCATGGTTGTTGGGACAGATTTTACATTTTTGCTCATTGTGGTTTTAGTGGGACATACCCACTTAACAGCTAAAATTCATTTTTGTTGCTCCCCATTCAACGTCAACCAAGTAAAAGCAAGTGATTTTTGGAGCCCCTAAAATCCATCAGAACCCTTTGGGTTCTCACTATCCACTCGCGTTTCCTGCCCCAACTGCAGGACAGAGCCGGCGATCGTGGTGAATTGGCAACAGTTCACCAAGCACGCGGAAACCCTGAAGCCCATGCACGCAGAGAACGGGCGGCTCGAACAGTTTGGGGTGCGAAATTGAAACAAGCGAACCACGACCCTGTTAAAGTGAATCCAGCAGAATGTGCTCCCAGCCGTCCTTTTAGGCTTCAGTGGTAGTTTCCACTTCACCAAAAGCTAGACGAATCTGGGAATCTGCCCAGATGGCCCTAAAATGTGATCGCCTTTTCTCCATGGGTCCAAACTGGACAACGGAGTTGAACACGAGTCGAATCGCCCTGCAGCGAAATGTCCCAAGAACGTCGCGCTCGAGTGCGGAGAGTGCGGAGAGTGAGGAATGTTGAGAAGGGTTGGTGGCACCACGGCAAAGCCAATATCACGCACCTTCAAGGCGGGCCTTCGGGGCTCATCTTTGGCTCCGTTGATAGCCCTCCCTGGAAGGTCCATGACTTGGTTTTGGGGGGAATCTGCCAGCCAGAGGTTGATTGCTATTGGGCAACGGATATTTCGATCTTTAACTTTTTGGTTAAAATCAATGTATATAGTTGTCCATTGCGCCCACCAACAGTAATGTTTGCTTTTTGCAGAGGGGTCGTTACAGCCAGCAACCAGCCTCAGGTTCCTCAAGATCCTGCCCAAGCCCAGCGAGGGCGATGTAAGGCAGGCGGAGCTGATGCTGAGCCACCCGTTCAGCGTGAATGAGCAGCCGGGCAGCAAGCAGCACGGGCCGAATCGCGCCCGCAACCCGAAAAATCACAGGTCATGTTGGCAGGTGGCTCCTTAAAAGATACACTTTGCCCATTTGAAACATGGCAGTTTTCAACCAAAATAAAGGGAAACCACCATTTACAAGGCAATGTTCAGGTGTATGATGTAAGGATCCCTGCTTTGGCAGGTGGTTCCAGGGGTTTGCATTTCGGATTTCCCAAAGTGTGTTCCGTTTGGGGGAAATCAACCGGTTTTGGGTTTAAGTCTACCTTCAGCTAGTCAAAGCATGAAACCCGATCGCATTGGCTCCTGAGCTTTATAGTTTTGTAGGGGGAGATCACTTTAGGACTTCATTCCAGTGTATACAGGACTTCTTCTTTTTCTTTTTTTTGTATTGAACGACAAAATCACTTATGTTCGTATTTCTGTAGACAAACACTTCATTCCTGTTGCTTAAGACTACTTTCCATTGTTCGTCGCTGCCCCGCTTGGCTCGTTCCGGGTGGTTTGGGGAAGCTTTTAGGCTACCACCTGGGCTAAATTGTATTTTCCCCTCTTCGTTTTAAAAGAATCTATCACCTCCGGAAATATTTTCTTGGCTTAACTTGCTGGTGATACCTTGTTGCTTGCCAGGTGAAAGTCTCGTTTCGTTTCGACCTCAGCCTTGCTGTTTTGATTGGTTTGGAGGCTTGAACGGGACCTGTAGCATGTTCGATCGGTTGCACCCGTCTTGGCTCCATGGACAAAGAACAGCTTGGGAGCAGTCGGCGTTTCACAGCCAAACTCTAGAAACCCAACGGAATGATTTGATTCCCCGACGCAAATTCCAACAACGCAGTGTTTTCAACCATGGTTTCATGAACCGTGGTGCGAAATGGATTTTGTGCATCAACAGTGTTTGTGTGACTATGATCAGTCTGCCCTAAAGTACAAAACATGGCTTGGAGGATTTCACCCATCCACTGTATCTCACGAAAAGGTTAGCCTTTTCACTTTAGAACCGGAGGTCCTGGTTTGGACAACTGTCCCCCGACCGAAATTGGCACTTGAAAATGGAATTGGGGGGGGGGGCTGATCTTCTGGCGAAGACCTGGTGACTGGAATTCCCGGATGCCCCAGCCCCTGGTGGGCATGATTAGCCTTTGCCGGAACCCATCAGTCAACTGCAGTTGCCGGAAATCCAGTAGTAATCCACTTCCCCAGAATGAGTTCCCCTTTTACTTTTTTGCTTTTTTGGGGTTCCCTTTGTTTTCCACTACCGGGCAAAAAACATATTTGTTGCTGGGGTCTGATTTTTCCGGCCAAGTCCAGTGACCTGCGGAGGTATTACAAGACGGGCCACTTTGACTTCGCTGCGAACCGCTTCGAATGTCTGGCGGACTCGGAGGACTGCTTTCAGCGCGGGCCCTCTGCCTCCGGCAAGCCCCCTGGTGATGAAGGCGAAGCCGGGGACAGCGTCCTTTTTAAGGGTTGATTTATATGTGTATATATATATACATATATATATATATCGCACTGGCTTAGAGTGGTGTTACTCCATTTGCCAGTGCCACAGATTTTTCCAAAAGGTGGGTTTTTAGGTTGGTTTGGATAGAAACACTAGGTCCCCCAGCTAGGTGCCCTTTTACCAACTTGTTTTGGGGAGGGTTCCCCTACTAAAATAGACTACAGAAAAAAAGGGGACCCTTATTCTAACCTCTCTACTGGAGGACCTAGAATAGCTGGCACTGGTCTAGATTGGCGTTATTCCATTTGCCAGGGCCATCAATTTTTCCGAGAGGTCACCCATGAGCGTGGCAAATTGAGTGCATCATGTCCTGAGCTTTTGGCAGTGCAGTCCTTTTGGGAGGACCATTTTAGCGGCAAACAAGAAGTTCGGACTTTCCGCGGTCAGGAAGTGAGGTGTCAGGTTGCCGCTGTTTGTGAGTGGCCAGCAAAGCCCTTCTTTCAAATTTGAGAAAGGAGGCCATGAGAGCGAGGCACTTTGGTATCACAAGACCATTCTCAGGCAGAATCCGTAAGCGGATTTTTCTGAGAGGCCGAACAACGACCCCCAAGGCCACCCCGAAACCCGGGTGTTCAGTGTTATGGTTTTTTTTTTTTTGCGGGACAGTTGACTCTTGCCCCGACTTGAGGAGTGGGAAGTCTAGACAACCCAGTGCTTGCAGGCAGGCCACTGTGGGCAAACTGGTATCTTACATGATTTGTACATCATGGTTTCCCCTGGTTACGTGGAAGCACCGGGCTAGATCTTTTTGCTATTCCAAGCGGGGTAGTGAAAGGCAAGCGTTGGGTTTGGCCCAAACTTCACGGGCAATCTTGCTGGTTCTCAACAGGGAACCAAGGGGGGGGAATTGAAAATGAAGCCATCCCTTGAAAGACGGGTCTGTTTGTTTTTCTTGGAAAGGCACCGTCTTTGGCTGGTTTTGAAGGAAAGCCAAAAGGAAACCGTTGCCATGTTGGGGGGACAAAAAATACACACACACACCCAGATACCACATGGGGCTCCTTCCCATCGCCGCACTAAGGGCAGCAACGGGCAGTCGCCGCATCTACAGATTGGAGGAGGGCAAGTTGGTCTACGACATGTTCCATGGCTTAAGAAGGGTCCTTACCGGGTTCTGCGAACAAAACACCCATCTCCCCGAATCATTTTGACAACAGGTGCCAACCCCCTTGCCGCACAACTTCAAAGTTGAATGTGCCCCTTGTTAATGAAGCCTGCGGAAAAAAAAAACCAACAACAAAAACAAACGCCCCAAATAAAAGAAGCGCCCATTTTGGCTTCAGACGTCACAGCTCTCCTTGACAACATTGAAGTTGGATAGTTGGGCAAGAGATGTTGTTTGTGCTCAAAGAACCCGGTATGTTTCCCTGTTGTGGCCAGGCATCACCTGTTCGTGGCGGTTCCCAGCCGTTCCCTTTGGCTTTGGAAAGTTAGTGGTTACCGGTTTAGTGGGGTTTCCCTTTAGAACGCTAAAAGTTGAACTTTTAGCAGGGGATTTTGGGGACAGCCCGGTTTTGTTGTTGTTCGAAGTCAGCTTCCTTTTGGCAGGACAATGCGAGGAAACCTGTCAAACGACGCGTTGGGGTTGGTGATTGATAGGGCGATCCATTCGGTACGTCACGTATGTGGTTAATCATCATGGTCATAGCTACGTTGCCTGGTTGGGAGTCCGCCAATGTAATACAATTGGCCCAAATCATTCCCAACATAATTGCCTTGTTAACACGTTTTGTTTGGTTCTAAAGTACAGGTTTGCTAGGCCACTTACATTATAGCCATGGATATCAATCACTTCGGTACCCGATCGCCCCTTCAAGTGTGGGCATCAACCAGGGATAGTCGACATGTGTAAGCTCCATCGGGAACCATGACCATGTTCCATGACGCACATGTTTCCTTAGCCGCTGTTTGCTTATGCTACAGTACCGCACCTGTACATCAAGCCTACCCCAGTGGATCCCAGTTAAGGCAAGCAGCTATTTTCCCCTTTTGGCTTTTAATTGGTGGTTCCCTTGCTTACATACTGTATATGTGAACGGAATCACAGGGTACGGTTGAACCAAATCTGGAGGGATTTGTTGTTGGAAGAGTCTTGATGATCATGTCCACTCGCCTGCTCCGATCCTCGAAATTAACAAAACAATCGTCGACAACCGGCTTGGTTTTACCCAAGCCTTCCAGTAAGGTAGTGGGATTCATCACTTTTGGAGAGGAACACTCCCATATCAATAAACTGGGGTTGATTCATCTGGGGGCAAGATTCCCATAGTAGGTGACCATGTGAATTTCCCTCCTTGTTTTGCATGACAGTTTTCCCTGAATACCGAATATAGTGCCTGGAAGAAAAGGGTTTCCCTTTTCCAGGTTGGCCCACATGTCTTTCCAGATCGGCGAAGAACTGGAGCAAACCAGGAACCGCAGCTGGTCAACGACTCGTTTTTGTTTGTCCGCAACTTCCTGATGTGTTCCCATATCCAGTAGATCCCTTTGCAACTGCAGTAGGTTACCAGCAGTTGTCCTTTGGGTTCTAAAAAGAATGGTTACCTTGGTAATGTAGGGGTAGATGGAATAGCTGTGATTAGGGGGTCATTTGTTTCAAAGGCAGTGCACACGTTTGTTTCCGGGGGTTTGGAGTTGACCTTTTTTGGCTTCACCCAATGACCAAGGTTTCTGCGTACTGAAGGCGAGGAGTTTGTCCACCACCTGCACTGTGAGATGGAGAAGGTGGAGTAGGCGAAAGGCGTCCCTTGGCAATTGTCATTTTAGGATGCACTAAATGCAAATGAAGCAGAGTCTGCATATATGGGCGTGTCTGTTTTAGGGGACCTCCTAAATTGGTGGTTTTCCTTTTGGTTTTCCTCCAAAACTAAAAACAACGGATACACTCAAAACATCACACCCTTATGTGTTTTGGAGGACCCCAGCTTCGGAACAAGTTTTACCGCCCCCAAAGCCATCCTCAGAGAGAGCCAAGAGATCCTTTGGCCGAGTGTGAGCATCTTTCGTTCACCGGAACGACAAGCTGCAAGTTGCGTTTCGCGCAGACAGTCCGGGTGACTCCTTGCGAGCCAAATCGCAGAGTAGAGTCCCAAGGCACATGCATCGTCAGAGATGATCGCCCTGCTTTCGTGCGCAAAAGTGCTAAACTTGCTGGTGCTCAGTAGGGAATGATGCAGGGTTCTGGGAACGATTCTAGGAATTCTCTTAAAGGAAACCATAGGCGATGGGGTATAGGGGTCATTCCCTCATTTCCTTTGCTGAGAACCAGTAAGCAAGTTGCTGCTTGGGCGTGCTCTGGCGGCAAGGCAGCTTGGGAATGCTCTCGGGACCTTGTTTTTGTTTGGACTCCAGATTGTGTTCTGGGCCAAAGCAACATATATGAAGTGACGACAGGCCACTTTCGAGGGGTCGCTATAGGGAGAACCGCGCAGCTGCCACGCGCGGTTGGTATCGACATGTGGATTCCAGTTGCCTTCCAGTCGTTCTGGTGTCCATGCTTATGTTTCGTTGAGGGGATGGGGGCGGGAACCGAAAGACAACTTATTTCGGCAACCCCACTTCTTCATTTTGAGCCAAAGCCTCAATGCTTGCAGAGACCGTTCACGCCGCGCCGGGCTCAAGTCGAAGGGTTTGAGCGGGTTAATTCAGGGACGGGGAACCCCTGGTCCATTGTCCCGGTTGTTACCATCTGAAATGAATTGTATGTGTTTGTCCCTTTTTGGTTTTGAAGGGAATCGTTTTCGCTGCTGGACATGATTTTTCCAGAGGAGCGAAGATGCAAATGGAAGGACATGGAACATCCCTTGCTTCCCGTCTTACGCTTCAGACTCGGGAGTTTTGCGCTAGGTGCTGCTGATGCACGCGTGCTTCCTGGCACTGCGCATTTGCACCTGGCCTTTGCTGGAGGCAGAACTGGCGGTTAGCAGGGGAAGACCCACGTGCACTTTCATGTTTCTAGGAAAACCTTCCATGTTCTTTCTTTCCAGGGATCCGAATCTTTTCAGACAACCATCAAACATCAAGGGAAAACAGCTGGTTTTGGAAAAGAACGATGGTTGAACAGAATGGGGAAGCATCTAGAATGTTGGAAAGCAGGTTTATGAGTTGTTGTCCGCCCTGCGGACGTTTGGATCATGTGTGCATTTGTTAAACTAGGGACACACCGTCGCTGGTGGTTTAATTGCGGGGGAAAGGGCCCCCAATGAGTAGTGGGAGGGTTTGGTTTGGCAGGTCATGTAGGTGCTGAATTTGATGAGTCGCAGAGAAAAACAAAACAGCAAGTGTCAGCACTTGCATAGAGGCAGCGCTGTTCCTTGCGACTGAGATCAGGGACCCCATGTAAACTACATACATGGTTCGCAACCCAGCGAGGCTCAAAGGCTGAGGTGGGTTTTAGAGGTCAACCACTTAAGTCTTGCGGCGCTGGGTTGTCTGGTTTAAAATTGCTGGTGAGTCTTTAGGCCCATGTGGTGGGTGGTCCTTCTGTCCTTGGTTGAAGGGGGGTTTCCTTTGAAGTTGACTGCCCTAAACGCCCGATTTATGGATTTTGGGGCTTGATGCGATAGCCCCCTCAACCACTCAGGCCCTGTAGGGTGTTCCTAGCATGGGTCCCAAGCCCCCGACCCCCCCTGAAATGAGCCCTCTTTTTGTTGAGAGGGGTCGTCTTTAAAAGTTACTTCCCAAAATGTTAGAGCTTCGGAGCTTGCAGCAGGCGACCCTCACTTGGTGCTTTGGAGTGGGGGACTCGTACTGGTTCTCGGAACGGGACACCTCCAAACCAGCGATTCGGCTCCGGCTCCACCAATCGGAAGGAAGCTGACATGTCCTTCCCGTAGGACCAAGCCACATGTGCGGAACATTACGTTTTGGGATTTTCTTGTTGCTGTTTTCTCCCAGGCTTCTCTTGATGCCAGGACCAAATCAAGGGTAGAACCTCGGCTTTGGGTCCCACTTCTTCTTCTCACTTCCTGAGTTCCGTTTCGGACTTCAAACTTTTTGGGTTTGGACCATTTCAGTGGCAATAGAAAGTTTTGGTGACTTGTTTTGGCTATTCCACTCGCTCGCAAGTGAGTCTTGTTTTCTCCATGGGAGTGGAACAGAAGGTGGCCATGGCTCAAGACCCTTTTGGGGTAGGTGAATTCACCACCCATTTTCGAACCTATTTGAATGGTTAGCTTGGTATGTTCACTGGGGGTACGGGATGGATTTTGACCCATGGCCAAATAGGTTCTAAAATGGGTGGTGAATTCACCGAAAACCCCAAAATGGGATCCCAAAACGGTTTGGAACAGTGGTGACAGGTGGGCATCGGCTACTGCAACTTGCTGGGCTTCCTGGGTGTGGCGCTGGCGCTCTTCCAAGGCGCCCGCGTTTCTTTCTCTCTCTTTTTTTGCGTGGGCGGTGCTCGTCTACCGGTTGGACCCTCACACTACCCCTAAAAACGGGATGTTGCGCCAAATGGTTGGGGCAAGTTTGAGGGTCCAGGTTGCCCCTTTGGAGTGGTTTGAAAGGGAAGCCCAAAGGAAACCGAATCATTTGTTGGTATCCCTATTTTCATACACACCCGGTAGGCAACCAGGTGTCATCTCTAGGTTTTACATGGATTTTGCCTGGCTTCTGCGATAGTTGGAACTATAGTAGGCAACCAGGGACCCTGCTGAGAGCGGTCCGAGGAGCATCCTAGCTATTGCCCCACACTAGTTTGGATCGTGGTACATGTGAGCGAACAATAGATTCTGCCTGGGCTATAGTAGTAGAGTGTTGGAAGGCTCGAACTGCATCCTACGACTATAACATGTTGCCAAAACAAGTTCCTTCCCACCCCGGTTTTGCCTGAATGTTTTTGTTCTGGCCCAGGTTTCTCCCACACAGTCGCATCTTCTAATTCTGCCCAAGCGCAAGTCAGAAATCGCTTTGGGGATGGAGAGGAATTATCTTCGAGCAGTTCGTTGGCTTGCGCTCGAACCCAAGCCATGGAAGTTCTCCAAGCAACTCGTTGTAAACTGTTGTTGTCAACCTCGGACTAAACGAGGAGGCCCTTAGGATTTTCGGGGGCGGTTCCAATTTTAGCAAGGAAATGATACGCATTTCTATGGAAATCCAACCCGAACCTCTACGTTTGCCATGATTTCTCGTGGTTACAATGAATCGCTTGCCTGGAACCACCAGCGGCATACGCATGTTGGCTTCCTTTCAAACAACATGCAGATTCCAACCACGGCAAGGAACCGGTACAAGGGGCTGAGTAATTACTTCATTGTTGTTGGAGCAAGTTGTTAATTGTCTCATGATTATTTCGGTGTTAGGATTATGTTCATGTTTAGCGGCTGCAAAAACAAAGTGCGTTGCAACCCCATACCATGTCCAATATGAATTTCCCCCATGGTCATGACTTAAGTTGCGTGCTTCCAGCTACCACCATAGCAGGTTTATAAACCCTTCCGTATTGCTACCTCTAGGTTTCACCAAGGATGGTTTCAGCCGGTTGCCTACTGTATCGCCTGGAAGCACTGGGTTGGCTTCATGGTGCCCACGCCATGATAATCATTGAAGTTAACTGGAAGCACTGGGACGACGCGTATTTAGCGTTCCCCCCCCCCCCAGCCCATCTAAGTAGCCAGAGCGCTTGCAAGCTAAAGAAAAAGTAACATTGTTTTCCTGTGACATGCGTTGCTGGTGCTCGCTAGGGAATGACCTTCCGGGTGTTGGGAAGGAACTGGAAGGGGATTCCCTAAAAGGAAACCATGGGGGATTGTTTTTAGGAGTCATTCCATGTCTCATTCCCTGCCTATCGAACCAGCAAGTGGTGGATAGTAGCCATGGTGTATGGTACCTAAATTTTCAGGGTTGCAAACCGCTAAGCCCCCAAGTGGGTGGAAGATTATCTCAGGGTTGGGCCAAGACCCTGTTTGGATCTGCTTGAACACCTATTGCTTAAGCATCCTCCTGTTGAATGCCCTTGAAAGAGGGCTGGGGGAATTGTAAACACTCGACTCTGATTGAACAAACTAAACACACTCACTTCCTGTGACTTCCATTTGCTTATGTTCTTTTTTGATTTGTCCCTCTTGGTTTTAAAGGGAATCTATCACTACTGGAAATATTATTTGTTTTTTTTTTTCCAGGGGACTTAAGCAAATGGAAGATAAACACACTCACTTCCAGTGTGGATTGGCAAGATGAGAACCAGCAAGACGACTTCATCAGGCACCTGTCGCCGATCGAGTCGTGGAGGCTTTGGCTTCCGCCCCTCGCAGCTGCTGCAGCACCGGGCCGAGTCCTAAGCGAAATGAGCTCGCGGAGTGGGTGTCCCGGTTTCGAAAAAGCCCAGAATCCCACCTGAGCCACTTGCTCAAAACCCGGTAGATGAAGGTGAGTCAGGGACAATCCCAACCATAAATAGCTGCGGCAGCCTTCTTAATTCTTTACATGGTTCTGGGTCGACCATTTTACTACCGGGTTTTGATTGTGACTCACCTTGGTATCAAAGAAAGAGCAGGGGCCATTCTGCACCTGCCTATCACGCTTTACTTGTTCGCTTACTAAGTCCACACGATCCGACCCCTAAATTGAACACCCACATTTTTCCCAGTTCCCGCTTGCTCCAAATCGGAGCTTTTGGAAGGCTACGAGTTGGGGAAACAAGGCGGGAGGTTAGGTCTGTGATCCGCACCAACCCCAATGAAACCCAGTGATTCCGTTTACCAACATAGTTTGCAAGCAAGGAAACCACCCTTGCAAAACCACAAGGGACATGGCGAAGGGTTTCTTCCCTGTGAATAGTTGCCTGGGATCCAGTGGCCAAGTAGACCTCAGCAAGCCGGGTCAGGTCGGTCGTCTTTTTGCGGCGGTAGCCCCAGACGGATGCAAGCGATCGCCCCATCGCACGAAAGGATCTCTTGGGCCTGGTGCTGCTGGGCGTTGGCGGGGCCTTTCTCACAGAGGCATCCATTTTGCGTGGGCGGGGCGAGGGGAGAGGCGAGAGTCATGTTGGAACGGTCGACTTGGACCGCCCCAATGAAGCAAGCTACCTGGAGTCTCCATGATTCTTTGAAAAGGCATCATGAGTCGCGCCCCCTATGTTGAGTAGACAGTAGACTCTAGACACCCCTTTTTTCTCAGGGGTCATGGAGACTCCAGGTATATACAGACCTTGTCAGGCACTCGAAGGGGCGATCAATTCGGCACGTCAACTGGTCATGACCCCAATGGCGACAAGCCGCCTGAGGCCTAGCTACTAGCCACTTACGAAGTACCCAGCGTCAGGATTGGAGTCGTATTTTGTTTCTTGTCCCAGGCTGCTTTTTCGTGGGTCAACTGCAGAAGTCCACAGGTCCACGGACCCGTGGGCCCAGGGGTCCAGAAGTCCGTGTCAACTGAGTCGGGAAGGTTTTCGCTTCAACCCCTTGGCCCTCCCATGAGATGCCTCCGTTCCTTGGCCCGGCCTTTGGCCAGGTGGAGGTTTGCTCTGTGCCATGGTCATTTTTCGACCTGTGCCTTTGGGATCAACGTTGGTCTTCCAAGTAGGAAGGATCCTGATCCATGATTGAGGGAGCCATGGCCCAAGCGGCCAAGCAGTCGGAGGTGGGACCATGGAAAGTACGTTGATGAATCTATGGGTGTGTCTCAAAATAGGCAACCCCAAAACAGGTTGAGGACACCCCGACCATTTTGAGGGTTGCCCTTTGAACAACAGCAGCACTGGGTATGTTTGCTCCATTTTTAAAGGAGTGAGTTGGGGAAATCGAGAGTGCCCTCACTCCTAAGTTGAACGAGGGATGGATATGTTCCTGGCACAAAAAAAGTTACCCTTTTCTGGAGTCTCCTCCAGGGAACAATTTGTTTCAAGGTTGGCTAAATCTAAACAGAATCCGAACAGCTGTCGGGTTGTGGTGTCTGGCAGATGCCAAAATTTTCTGCTTTCAACCATAGGTGTCCTTTTTGGTTGTTTTGGTGGAAAAATAGATGGCGATTCCTGGTTTACCTGGTGGTTTAATCATCTACCAGGGAAACCCATCTATTTGCCCTGAAAGGACACAAGTCAGCTTCCAACACTTTGACATCCAACAGTTTGGCCAATTAAGTTGAATGTTCTAAATCAGAATCCGAACCATCTTTCTGGTTCTGGTGTCTGTATTTGGCAGGCAACCCATCTACTACTTCCCCTAAAAGGAACACCGATTCCAAGATTTTGGCAGCATCTACCAGGGAAACCCATCTATTTGCCACACCTATGCTTCCATCGTTCTGGTGTCTGGATTTGCCAATTTCTGCATCCATCTTTCTGGTGTCTGGCAAATGCCATTTTTTCTGCTTCCAACATTTTGGCAGGAACATGTGTCTGGTTCTGGTGTCTGGATTTGCTCAAATTGTCTGCTTCCAACATGGCAGGTGGTGGACTTCTACAGTCACCAGACATTGCTGGAGAGCACCATCTTCACTGCTGCCAACTACATCGAGATCTTGGCCTTCGCTGGGGGCCCCAGTGCAAGGGCGAAGCTGAAGCACGGGAAGGGCGACGCTAAGACCTCCAAAAACCAGGGGAAGACCTCCAAAACCACAGGAAACCTCCAAAACCAGGTAAAAAAAAAAAAAAAAAAAAAAACATGTGAAGACCTCATATACCAGCCCGGCGGTGGGTCGGAAAAAAAGGTACCCAAAATGGAACCCTGGTAAATGGAAGGGGCTAAAACCTGTTTGTCTCATTGTGACCCACACCCGAAAGTGGAACGTTTCTCTTTGGAACTTTAGCCAAACACCATTTCCTAACTGCTTAGAGACGCGCCAAGAATAGGTATATAGAACCCCCCCCCCCCCCCGCCGAAAGCCGTCATTTTCGGAGGAGTTTCCTGGTGCGAAGCACGCCAGGTGCCGGCGGTGTGGATGGTGCACCACACCGTGAAGAAGGGAGAGGCTGGAGGGGTGAAAGTGTTGGAGGCAGAAGGAACCCAGCGAACACCCTTGCTTCCATGTGCTTAAGAATACATATGCTTTGTCCTCCCTTGTTGGTTTGAAAGGGAATCCATCACTACTGGACATCTCTGTTTCTTTCCTTCCCAGGGGCTTAAGCAAATGGAAGCTCTGATTTGCTGTGCCCTTCCCCTGAGCAAAAGCTCGATCACCTTCCATAGTTGTGTCTTAGCGGTGTTTTTTTTTTTTTCCGGCAAGCTGAGGTCACAAATGTGACCAAATCGCGAAGACCTTTGGGAAACCAAGGCTTTCCATCGCTAAAGCTGATCGACCGTTTCATGGTTGTTGGGAATCATTTTACATCTTTGCTTATCGTGGTTGAAATTATGTTTAAATTTTAAATTGACTGCTTAACTGCTAAAATCAGCTATTAGAATTGCTTTAATTTAGTGGGAAAACCCTCAAAAACTGCTTCATTTGTTTGTTGCTTAACTGCTAACATTTGAAAATGGGTGCTCCCCGTCCAACGTTAGGCAAGATTTGTGGGAAGCGAAACCGGACACCCTAAGGGTCCCATCGCATGCACTTCGGGGCCTGGATTCGGCACAAGCCCCGAGAGCCTGTTCTTGGCCCATCCTCTTGGTCTTTTTCCCTTGGGCTTCCCTTTAAGAGCAACCAAAAAGAGGTACCAACTCAAAAAGGACCAAAAATTGCGGTGTCCTTTTGTTTTCCCGCAGTTTCTCTTCAAGAAGTGTTCAAAAAAGGGCTATAGAACTCAAAAAAGACACGCCAAGATCGATTCGAGGACTGGAGCAGCATCACCGCAGCGAGGCAGTCTCAGGCGCATGGGGTGATAGCGCGCTTAGCTGCTGAAAGGATCCCCATGCGGTTGTGTTGTGGGGCACTCTTTTGGCTGCTTTACTGGGACGCCAAAAGGAATATCTACCCATTTGTTGGGATCCACTAAAAAACCACCGGTCTTTTTTGTAGGGGACACCACAAAAATTGGGTTTTCTTGATGGTTTCCCTAACAACTCCAAGAGATGACAGACCCAAAACCCAAGCGAAAGTTAAGAAATCAGTGCGGATATCCGCCTGGTACATTCTTTGCATCGGCTTTGTGTAACCAGCGTGTCTTTCCCACTTTCCTGGTATCTTCTATGGGTGAGCCTCCTTGGAAGGCATCTATCTCCCTGCATCAAGCGAGTTACTCGCTCGTTTGTGCTGTTTTTGCGTAGTGGGTCCCCAGCCCGGGCGGCCGGGCGTCCGAGAGACGGATCCATTCCTGCGATGAGACGGATCTATTGACCTCCAGCCCAGTGACCGCCTCTCCTTAAAAGAGCCGAGACGGAGCTATTGACCTCCTGCCAGGTGACCGCTACTCCTTAACAGAGCCCGGGTGGGCCACAAGACGGATCTATTCCTGGGGACGGATCTATTGACCTCCAGCCCAGTGACCGCCTCTCCTTAAAAGAGCCGGGCGGGCCGAGACGGACGGATCTATTGACCTCCAGCCCAGTGACCGCCACTCCTTAAGAGCCCAGCGGGCCGAGACGGATCTATTCACCTCCAGCCCAGTGACCGCCACTCCTTGAAAGAGCCGGGCAGGCCGAGACGGATCTATTCCTGGGATCTGAGACACATCTATTGACCTCCAGCCCAGTGACCGCCACTCCTTGAAAGAGCCAGGGCATCCGAGATATTCACGGGATGAGCCGTCGATGCTCTTGAGCTCCGCCGTCGCCGCCCGAGCGATCTCGTCGCACAGCGCAGTGGGAACGCTGTAGAGCAGCGTTGCTCTGACGAAAGTAAAGGCGCAGCAGAACCCGAAGAGAAGCCGGAGCAAGACGTAACCTCCTTGGAGAAAGGGGGTGGGACGGTGCTTGGGTGAGTGTGCGTGCTTGTCATGTGCTAGCACTTGTGCGGCGCTGACTTGAAAGGCCACCGCTGGAAACAGGTAGGGGACTCCCTGCTTACGTGCGCGGCTGTTGTTTTCAACTTCTGCTAACGCGCTGATGCTTCCTGCCCTTTGCCCAAGTTGGCACTCTTTCCTTTAGGCCCCAACGCGACTTGAGAGGACCTGCGGTTTGCTTCCGTTTCTTCACGTCCCTTTCCTTAGTTGGGGACGCCTGCAGGTGTTTGCTTGCAATCTTTCTTGAGATTACCGCTTCGTTGGCCCGTGTTCCGTTACATTGGTGATTGCTGGGGTTGCGCGCAGGAGCTCAGAAAAGCTTGACTCTCTTCGCGCAGCGTCGCACCGTCGTGAACAACAGCACGCAGGGCACATAGGCATCACTGTCGGAAAGTCGGGGGCTGCCCGGCACACTCGCTTTGACGTTGGCGCTGCGCCTAGTGCAGACAGTGGAAGAGGCACGAATCTCTTCGAAGTCAAGGGTGTGCGTCCAGCTGTAGGTGCCTTGCCACACGCGCTGTTCCGCCCGGCCGCTCGTTAGCCTTTCCACCCACCTGCCCGTCGCCTGCCAGCGGCCGGACCTTTGTTCGAAAATGATGCACAGGCATCTTCAACGTCCGACGCTCAATTCAAGGCTCGCGTAGCCCTGCTCGCCTGCCCCAGCCCCGCCCGCTTAAGATTTGCAGATGTTGCGACGTTTGTTATATAGGATGTTTGGTGGAGCCCGCCTAGCTCCCGCTCGCCCACCCCGTCCCAAGATGACGGCCAAGGTATAGAGAAATTGCAACGCTGTGAAAGATGTTCGGATGGCCCCACCCGCCACCCGCCCGCCCCCACCCACCTCGCCCGCCGCCCGCTCGCCCACCCACACGCCCGCCCCAGTGTCCCAAGATGAGCAGTTAGACGAAAAGGGCTTACACATGTAGCAGGGGGGTAGGCTCGCGTAGGCTTCCCGCGTGGCAACTGTTGAGCGAATCATGGCTCAATGCTGTTTACCAAGTGCAAGGGGGGTTGTTTCTTTTGCCATCCTTCTGTTTGCTCTACAGTCTTCGCGTAGGCTCCGCATAGGCCCTACAGGCATGTGCTTATAGACCTTTTGAATACGTAGACCTTGTCTACATTTGCACTGAATACATCGACCTTTGCTAGGAGCTAGATCCTTGGACAGATGCGCAGCTCTCACTTGTACTGCAAAGATGGCCTTAGAGCCGGGTTTGCGACAACCACACTTGCGCCGAAAAGTTGCTATTGTCCAGCTGGAGCCTAAAGTGCACATCGTGAAGTCGTGTAGCGCACTTGAACGGAACATCCGCCTGGGTAGGCATCCGCGCAGGCGACTTCAAGCTGACTTGTGCTCGCGTAGGAGCCCTTTGCAGCGGCGTAGGCTCCCGGAGGCTTCCGCATAGGCATGCAAGTATTATAGGCCCCGAGCCACTGCTTTAAGTGTTCGGAAGCAGCCCGCCTCGGCCCGCGCGCCCGCCCCGCCCGCCCGCCCAGCCCGCCCGCCAGCCCACCCCCCGGCCACCCCCCGCTTGAGATGTTGCGACACTCGTTTGCATGCTTGGGAGCTTGATGCTATAAGGAGAGATTGCTGCTGTATGAACATTGTAAAAGTATATCTTACATATTTCAAGTAGGGATTTCACTTCCAGCTCAGCGGGGGTTTCTGGTTTAAGGTTTATTCGAGCTGTATGACGCCCCGCAATCCGCGGGTACGCAGCATATGTTTGCCGTGCAGCCTGATCAATGTTCAAAGAGTAAGGACCATTTAGCCTCAAATGACCGGGTCTAGCAGGCATTGGCCTTCTTTGCCTTTTTGGTGCTCTTCTACATCATGGAGGAGAGGGTGCGGTGTCGCTTTTACTACGCTTGCTTGTTTGTTTTTTGCTTGCTTGGCTGGCTGGCTGGTTGGTTGTTTGGTGGCAAGTCAGATTGGTCAAGACATGACCTGCATATGCAACTGAATTGGAGTTCAGCCAGTGGCGGGTAGTCTAAGGGCCAACCTGCATACCCCAACTGACATACCCTAAATTCATGGTTATACACGGGCTGTACAGTGTACAGGGCACATACCCCAACACCATCCCTATGTAAGGCCCTTTCGGTGTGGTATGTCCAGGGGAAGTGTGTAAGTTGGCCCTGAGAGGCGGGGACTTATTCATTCCGCCATCAAGCATACTAAACAAAATAATGAGCACTTCAAAAACCTTAACAGGGGGGCATTTTTGTTCGGGAACATGCCAAGGAACACACTGCAGACATGTTTTGCAAGCCCAAGAAAGCTCCTTACTGAGTCCATTGCCCTGGTTTTGCAAGTAACCAAGGCCTTGATAGTGGTTTGTCGGGGATGCGGTAGGTGTGAAGTTGGTCGTTTGCCCAGAATCAATCATCCTGCTTGACCCGCATGTCGTGCCGAGAGTTGCCAAGAGCGCCCTTGGGTGAGGCCACGTCTTTCCTTTGCTTACAAGGTTACCATTTTTAACAGAGACCCCTCTTAAAAGTGGCTAAATGCTACTCACCAAGGGGTCCCATTCAGCTAAAAATCTTAGATGAGTCTAGCAGCATGAGGCCACTCTTGAGCTACAATATCCTAGACTAGCCTCTTATGGAACCTGACTGGGGCGGCTCTGGACAACCATTATTCAATTCCTCCAAAAAGAACCCTGTGGTGCAAACAATCGTGAATCATGGGCGTGGGGAAAACTCCCTTACCAGGTTCCGAAGGTGACGCAGTAAATATTTGCACCTGTTTACCCCCCCCCCCACCGGGTTTGTACGACAAGTTATGCTGAAAGAAACGACCCCAACCAAAACAGATAACAGGACTTAAATTACGCCGGGTGTTTGACATCCTTTCGGCCCAAGTGAAATCCCGTGAGGATGAAGACAGTTTTAATGGATTCTAATATGAATATTGGCAACATGAATCCCCATGTCACAATTGGGTGCTGTATTTTGTTTGGGGGTGCCAAAAATGGTTAGACCCCCAAAAGGGTGACATCAAAGAAAAGGAAGCCAATTGGGATTGAACATGGCAACGCGGATCCCGTTCAAACAGGAATGCCACACAGACAGACTCGATGGCCCCTTGAGGTTCCCAAATGGACTTATTTTCTGCGAATCTGTCTCCTACCCCCCAACTTAAACGGGCGATTGGGTATCTAGTAAGTGCTAGTAAGCCAGGTTACATTCCTCGTGGGAGACTTATAACCATGGCAAGTGGGGCATATCCACGGCTACTTACTCAGTACACTGCCCCCTTACAACTCTGAAACCGGGAAACTCTACTTGAGAAAGCCAAAACCCATTTTGAGTATGTGCCGAACTTCCTGTAGAGTTTCGCTTCTGAAGCCTTGAAGAAACTCCGAACCATTGCAGAGGAATTTGCTTTGGGTACCCATTGGGTTTCATGTTGTGCCAGGGTGAACGTAAATGGCTCAATGTCCTTTATTTACCCAGGGGATGACCAAGCCCAAATGGGTGGAATTGCAGAAAATCTTCCAACTGCAAACCAACAGCGATGCTTTAGTTGTCGGGGAGTTCCTGCGTTCCCTTTTGGAACCACCTAGCTTTGGAGTCCCATGCCTTGCATGGGTGTTTCCCCATTCGATGGGTATATTCGGCCTTTTGGGGCCACAAAAGAGTTTCCTTTCATTTCGGTGTGATGTTCAACGGGGAAATGTGCCCCTGCCATTTGGCTGTAAAATGAGACATGGAGAACACAACAACGCGTTGTGCTGTTTTTTGGGGGCACGCGAACTTGCAGTTAAAAGTCACCCGAGGACGGGCGTTTGGTCTCGCTAATGTGCTTTTACACTCTGCCGTAAAATGGAGAATGGGGGGGCAACAAGAACGCACGTTTTGTTCTTGGTTTGTTTTTTCAGGGGTCCCTATATTTCCCGTTTGTTGGTGGTTTTTTAAACATCGCCGTTTTGGCCCATGAGAGGTGAGTGTCCCTTGGTGGGGGTGATGTTTGAAGGGAACATATGGGCAGCCCTGTTCTTTTTTTTTTTGTGGGGGGTCTGCAGCTCAAAAATGTCAGCCCCCCCCCCCACCTGGGGTTTTCTGCAAATTTTCGTGGGCCTCCTGCTTGCATTTACGTGGGCCACCCCCTCAGCTTGGGTCCCGTCCCCCGTAGAAACGCCGCGCGTCGCGCTTTCTGCGGTCAGCGGGATTTTGTTTGGTCCGGCCAGGACCTCATCTCCGCCTACCGCCTCTACCAAGTGGAGCCCTTGGGCTCCGCAGGCTCCGCACACGACTCGTCAGACTCGTCCGCGTCGCGTCGTTTGTTGGACGTTGGCACGTGGCTTAAAGGGAGACCAAAAGGAAATACAATACGTGCGTGGTGTGAAGAAACCCAAAGGGAAACAAAGCGGTTGCTGAAATCCGCAAAGTTTGTTGTTGTCTTGTTTGTCTGTTCAGTACGAGTTTCCTCAGAACGTCTCATGGGTCAAGAGACATACAGTGTTTGTGTTGTAGTGAAGCTTGTGCAAACATGATTGTCTCACGGGTCTGTCCGAAATAGGCCAAGAGACGCACACAGTTGTGTGCTGTTCTTTCTGTTTTCCATTATTTACTGTTGTTGGCATTTGCTTTGGTCTTTTGGTGTTCTGGTTTTGTTTTTTTTTAGTAGGGGGCCGCAACAAACAAAGTTTGGTGCTTCCATACCACGGGCATCCCCTTTAAGATTTACAGTGACAAAGTTGTCATGATGGTCCGGTTTGGTATCGCAGCAGATATTTCCCACACCCGGTATCGATAGTAAACTATTCTGAGAAGCTGCTCACAACATGATTACCCTCTCTTTCAACATGGAACCTGAATGAAGGCCTGGAAGACCATTTTGACGACTTTCCATGTTGACTAGGGTATCTCCGCAGACTTTCAGCTCACTCCCAAGCTTTCTCCCAAAGTTGGCTCATGGGCTGGAAGCGCTGGCCTTACGGTTCCAAACTGGATGTGTGTTTAGGAAGTGGTGGTGTTCCTGTTGGTTCAAAAAAGGGAGTCATCTCACAAAAAGACGCGACCAAATGGTTCGAGACCAATGAATAGCTGTGGCAAGGCATGGTTGAAAGCCGGAATCAACCAGAAGGAGTCTCAAGTGATTCAAGGTTCGGCTGGAGGTTACTCCTCCGCAAATAGACATGGCCCCCCCACCCCCCCACCACCTCCCCCCCCAAAAAAAAGGCTTTCCCCCCAGAAAGTCAAACACACCATCATCTACACGCATATGTTAAGTTTAGGTCCTTCAAGTGAGAGAGCGAGAGAGAGAAGAAACATGGCCGTCAGGTGGTTCTATTCAGGTCCTGTTGCAAATGCGTCACCTGAGCCTAAGAACACAAAGAGATCCGCCCGAGCCTGGTGGTTCGTTCAAGCTGCGTCATTTGTGGCACAGTCACAGAAAACCCAACCTAGGTCCCCCAGCTAGGGGCCCTTTCACCAACTTTTTTGGGGGGAGGGTTCCCCTGCTAAAATAGGCGTCCTGAAAAAAGAAACGGTACCCTTATTCTAAGCTCTCGAATCTGGAGGACCTAACAACAGCGTCAGGCCACGTGGTGCACTTCCTGCTACTGCTGGATTTTGCCTGCTTCGTGCTGGCCCACATCTACAACGCCGAGGGCGTCTCTGGCAGTTTACTGCGGCCTGGGGCCCCAGGCATGCCCCAAGCTTGACCCATGCCATGGCTCAAAGTTCGCCTTTAAAGGATATTCTACCTCGTCAAACCTGTGTTTATCGGGGTGTCCGAACCATTTCCCTTTTGTGGAAGTCCGGTGCGGTGGGGTTGGTTGTTCCCCATGCAAGGCCCAAATGCCATGAGAATGTGGTTGGGGGCTTGGAAACCAAATTGCCCTTATCATCCTAAAGTGTGTCTGTTTGCAAGTAGTCAGCCCTTTTGTATTACTCCAACCCCGTGGTGTTTGCCAAATTACCATATGCATGTTAATCATATACGTTCCAGGTTATAGGCCCCCTCCCCCCCACCCATGGTCATGGTATGTGGTTGGTTCGGGGTTGGTTCAGGGTTGGCTTCGTCTGAAATCCGGGCGGGGGTTCAAGCCCAACCGCCAATCCTGAAGCAGCCATTAGGAACCTTCAGGGTGCGCAGGGGTCCCGTATCATACCCCGAAGTGCTTCTTCCGGGTCTCGAATTTGCAATTTTGAACCCAAACCCAAAATCCATCGATTGGACCCTTAGGGTAGTTGAATCTGAACGGAAACAAACACCTGTAAGATTTCCACCCCCATTTGGCTGTGGGTCAAAAATAGGTACCCGAAAACAGATTCAAGGTGAATGAACAAGAGAACTAAAACCTGCGGTCCACTTCCTGTTGTTTTAGGGGTTGACCCATACCGCCCATACCCATAATATGTGATTTCTCTTTGGAACTCATCCGAACACCAGTTCCCAAACTCGTTTAGGACGCGGGACCCAGCTGCCAGCGCGATCCGGACCGAGATTCTGGGGCCCAACACAGCACTGGGTCTGAGCGTCGAGCCGTTCGCCACGGGGGTCGCGGCCTGGAGTCACCGGATCAAAGTTGCAAGACTTGGAATCAGTCTGCCTATAGCCAGCTCAATCAGCTGGGGTATAACCAGCGAATGAGAAAAAGGTCCTTGACTTGGGGGTTCCCTTACTTCAGCGTGTTTGGATCCGGCGGCTACATGACAGGACTCGGCCTTTTCCGGAAGCCTGGCTTTCGAAAATGAGGAACCAGGCCAAGGCTTTTGGCGAGATTGCGCAAACTGCCATGAGGCCCCTGGTCATGGACCCCATAGAACAAGGATTCCGATTGGAGGCCTAGCCTTCGGAGTGCCTCAGGGGAGCTTCAATGCCATGTGCTCTGAAGGTGTGGGACGTAAGTGGGTCCATGGGATGGATCCGATTGTGTGTTTTAGGTTGACGCAATCGAAGGAACCCTCACGACTGGAAGGGAGATGGAAGTGGCACAGCCACGCTTTGCATCGTTGGCTTCCGCATTTAAACCTCTTCACTGCTGTTGGCACGTGGTTTTTCTTTTTGGGTTTTGGGTTCCGTTCATTTTTAGATGGGGGCAAAATAATTGTTTTGCTACCATACCAAGGGTTGTACAGACCTGCCACATTGTATGATGTGGCCATGGTTCAAAAACAATGGTACCATTTTGGGATAGGTGCATCACCCATTTCAGTCTATTTTAGTCGGGATTGGGATGTTCACTGGGGGTACGGGGTTTTGACCCATGCCCATGTGATCAGTTCCAGTTGCCAGACCGGGATCAACTGGCTGGATCTCGCCGAGAGCCTTGACTCGTTTCACTTCCATACCTGTTGAGTTTGGAAGGGCACCTCCAGTCTCCTATTCGGGCCCCTGGAGAATAGTTAGTTTCCCTTTGGCGTCCTTTTAACCCAACCCCCAAAAAAGGGTAATTCATGTTGACCCCATATTAATCAACCCCAGTATATTCATAGAGGGTGTTCCCTCCAAAAGTGATGAATCCCCACTAGACCATCCTAATCCCAGGGACATCCCAATATTAAGTTAAAATAGGGTGGGTATTGATCCGGGGTCAAGCTTATTGCTCAAGCTGGCCTTTGGCTGGCAGAAGTTTGAATCCAGCTTTGCCCTCGTGGGCCTGTTGTGCCTGCAGATTGTCTGCGGATGGAGCAATGTTCCCAGGGGCTAAGCAATTAACATGTTGCTTCTATAAACACAAGTTTATGTGGCTATAAGTACCCCACAAACCCATTCCAATAGACCCTCTGGGCGGTGTACGCATGTCTTGGCCGTTGTCATGACTTGTTTCGTTGGATGCATGCTGTTTCATATCAAAATGTGGATCGCTTCATTTCGAGCCTTAGACGTAGCTTGCCTGTGTCTTGTTTTCGGATTGTTGTTTGTTTTGAAGGGGCATATCTTAAATTTGCTGGATGTTTGGTGCCACCTCGCAAAAAAGCAGAGGTTAAGGGTGGTTTCCTCCATCAAAAGTCACTCCCTGACGTCCTGGACTGAAGCAATCGGGAAAAGACCAATTTGGCGGTAAACAAAAAGCTTAGACTTGTTGTGCTAATCCACTCAGGAAGTCAGTTTGCAACATTATAGTCAATCACAATTAGAAACAGGAAGTTGTTTCAAAATTAGGTCTTCCCTAAACCCAGTGTCCACTTCCCCATTTATGCTATCGCAGCTGGTGGGTTCCCTTCTTGAACTGAGAAAAGTTGTTGGATGATAACCTGTGAGGGGGTGCACTTCTTATGTTTCCAAGTCATATCTTGGGTTTCCCAGTGGTTTCTGGACCGCATGCGGCCAAAAAGGCGGCTCTTTCAGCATCTCATGCTCGGTTCGGCGGCTTTCGCCAAAAAACAGCTCTTTTGCTATTAATCCCCAAGGGATGGGTTGTCATCCGGCACGTGAGCCACGGTCAATGCTTTGATGGCGCTCACTGACAATGCAATTTGGCGAGTAACCAGACCTTCCTCCATGATTTCATTATTTTTTTTGGAGGAGAATGTTAGTGGCAAACAACAAGTACGGACTTGTTTTTGGCCAATCCACCTAGGAAGTGACACTGTGTCTTTCTGCTTGGTATACTGCAGTGGCTTGACTTTGACCCTTGCTGGCGTACAGTAATGCCCCGGCCACGCAACAAGAATCTGACCGGGGCGGTGGAAGACGATGCTCACGCTTTGTTTCTCTCAAAGGGACCCTCTGGTGGCTTCCATTCTAGTTGGTATGAACCAAGCGAGCAAGCACGCAACCAAGCAAACAATCAAGTACGAAGCAAATATCAGTTGTACCGCCAGTGCCTATCACGCACCCTGACTTTAATGCCAGACATGACAACAAATCTGTGTTGGAAGTATCTGAACATATTATATTGCTTGGTTTCCTCTTAAGAGAACAGCAAGGTGGCCAATCATGTTTGCTCTGGAAGCGGCCATTTGCAACTCAACTGGAACTCTGGTCATTCTTCATAGGTCCTTGGAATCCTTGAAGTCCCAAAGCCAAACACCTGGTGGCAGGGTTGCATTTTCTACTAGCTTAAAATTAGCCTGCAAACCCTTGATTTCCCCAAAAGGGAACAGTTTGGTTCAAGTCTGCCTTCAGAAAGTGAAAAGGTGCGGTTTCCTGCCTGGATTGGAAGATCTGCATGGCTTGTTTGTATTCACCATGTGCGAGATTTCTTCGGAAAAGTCGCACAGCTGGCAAGCCGAGCCGGGCTCAAGCAGATGGGGCTGAGCGCCGGGATGTGGCCGGGGGGCTTGGATTGTGTAAAGGGCGTGGAAGGTGGGTCTGGTGTTTTCTTGTTGTTGTTTTTCCTCCCGCCCGTAGTAGCTGTAGTTGTTATTAAAACAAAAGAAACCGCTAGGCCACTAGAACATACTTGGTTCTTCCATTTGCTCAAGATGAGTGTTGTTTTTGGTTATTTCCCCTCTTGGTTTTGAAGGGAATCTGGAACTACTGGACATATCCAAAGCAAATGGAAGGATTCTGCATTCCAAGTCTTTAGGTTGCAGTGTTTGCTTCGTAGGTACCCGTTTCCGGTCAGTTCGGTTGAAAATCAATGGCACTTTTTGCAGGTTCTCATCACTTGACAGTGCCATCAATTTTACCGAATTCGCTTCATGGCCACAAGGGTTCGTGTTCTTAGCCCGACCTACACATGCTTCTCAGGGAGCAATGCAAACGGTCATACCTAGATGTGGTTCCATTTTTCTGAGTTGGTATCCCTTTCTGGGTGGCTGTTCAAGGGAAAGCAAAAGGAGCGCCAGCAGTTCGGTGGGTCCGCAAAAAAAAAAAACGCCACAGCCGCCACACCCATCGATCGGTGAGTGAGTCAACTCACCTAGTTGATACTAATTGGCGCCCTTCAGGACTACAACTGTGAACCCGTGTTTGGGAGAATTTCGGATGGAGCAGTGTTCCTCTTTTTTTTTTTTTGGAAACTCCTTGTTGGTTGGTTTTAAATGACGGCCAGAAGGAAACCCACCCATGTTGGGACAAAACAGACACCCCCCTTCCAGTTTTCGTCGAATGCTTTCCCAGGGGTCGCGAAGGGATTTGGAACACTCAGAAGTTGATTTCAATTTACAGTTGGGAACTCTATTAGTCCATTGAATCGATCGCCACTTTTTTATGGTTCGGACACCCTGTTTCCTGAATCAACTGCAAACAAAAACGGTGCCTTGTTCTTATGGCCACTGGGGTCTAGCCCAGATCATGGCAACCCGAATCACCATGTCCCATGTCATCAAAGGGCGGCGATTGGTTGCTTCCCCCTGTAGGTATAAGGTTGGTTTCTCGTGGAAATGGATCTTATTTGGTAGGGTGGTTCCTTTAGATACAACAACAAAGTACGTCAATGCATCCCTTGATGAACGGCCGCAGCCTCACGACACTGCTGCAACTCGGCGAAGGGATGATCCGGCTCGGCCTCAGGCCTGGCTACGCAGGCTGTGCTGATGCTATCCTGACATGTGTGCCTGCGTGTTCTTCTTTGAGCATAATTCGCCTTTTCAGCTTGGTTGCATGGGAAATCACAAGTTGAAAACCACCATTTTGCCCTCCCCCCCCCCCCCCCACCCCTTACCCACCCACCCGCAAGCTCGGCGCAGACCCACGTGTAGCATCCTCGTAGGGCGGTGCCCTTGGAGTTGTGAGCCCATGGGCGCTGAGTCTTCTTGGGAACGGCCTTGTGGTCTCGGCAAAAACGGGAAACCCATGGCCGCGCCTTGGGGATGCTGGAATTTTCACAACGCATGGCTGCGGGTCAAAACCAATGGTACCATGGGGTAAGTGCACCACCCATTCTAGAGCCTACTTTAGTGGTTGGATTGAATCGGATGTTCACTGAAGGCTAACCGATTTGGCTTTTGACCCATGGCCACATCAATGACTCATGGCATAGCCTCGCTCGACTCGTGGCTCCAGCTTCCCAGGGTAGATGTTTTCCGGCCCACAGGAAAAGCTTGTTCCGGACATCCCAGGGGAGCCTGGCCTTCTGCACTTTTAGCATTCTAACGGGGTGGGACACCCCTGTCAAGGTAGATGGACGCGGTTCCTGCAGATCTTGCTTCCTGGGAGCGATACATCTTCCCCGCGAGCAGTGACTCTTTGCTCACCCGTCAGCTGACTCTTTTCGCACCCGCGACGGACCTGAGAAGCAGCCTAGCCACAGTCATAGGCCTAAGTGATACTTGAAGCAGACAGCTTAACCTGTTCCGGTGTAAACAAGGGGCATCTGCGTTTCTTACTTCGTCAAACCCACCTTCAAAGATTGATCACTTTCCTGGTGGTTTCCATTGAAACTGCAAGTTTTGCAGGTTCCAGGGCTGATGGCCTAGAAACCCGGTGAACTGCTTGATGGCCGCCTATTTCACCTCCCCAGCTGTCTGACCACTCCACTGGATCGAAAGTGGGCGAACATCCTTTGCCATGCGGGCGGTGAGCTCAAGTTGGACTGCCCCGAACTTGGACAAGATCCAACAGCTGGCGCTGGGAGCCTCAAGGGATCTTCGGAACTCACGGCTGGCTGGGGACATTGAACGTGGCATCCAAATCATCTTCTAGAAAAGGACATTCAAGATGAAACAAATCAGGACCCAGTAAAGAGTGGGCAGGTTCCGTGAGGTAAGTAGTTGGTAACTGAGTTTTTTGGTCCCTTAGCCGCCACTTCACGCAGGCGTTAGTGGGGTCACCTGCAAAGTACCATCATAGAAGTTCAGGGTAGGTCAGGTCTGTGGCTGGCGGCTGGTAACCATGGTTATCCACGGAGACCTACCTTGGCAAGGGTTAAGCATGTACCAACATTCCTCGATTTCTGGGTTTTGGGGGGTGCCTTGAAAGGCCCTATCATTGCTGTTGGGAAACATTTTACATCTTTGCTTATTGTGGTTTAGTGGGAAATCCCCACTTAACTGCTAAAAATCAAAACTTTGCTCCCCTCCCAGCGTCAACCAAGCACACTGTGGGTTTCCTTGGGCTGACACGGTTCGAAAATTTACGGAAGCTCCGCCTTGATCGGATCCGAGTTACGACCTTCGCCCAGGCGGGTAGTGTTGACCCCATATGTATCAACCAACCAATTTATTCATAGGGGGGCGGTTGTTGGCCCCTCCAAAAGTGGTCTGACTCCCCACATTTCACCCAGTGAGAAGCACCGCCCTAAACTGGGGCTGATTAATCTGGGGTAAATGGAATCGGACCGTGAAGCAGAACTCGATTTATTGTGAGTTCAAAAACTTGAGCATGGTGCACGAATGGCGGAATGGCTCGCCTCTGTTTGAGGGGCTCGGGGGCCCCAATGATATTGGATCTAACGCCGTGCAGCATTTTGACTACTTTGCCACTTTCAAGGGGAGGGAGCCTTAGCCACTCATACAGAATGAAACCCAATGTCCCAAAACCAGCTTGACCGCATAGAGGGGCGATGGATTCGGTACGTCAAGTAGTTAGTAAGCATACCTTGCGAAGCGTTATCGGGATAGTTACTAAGCATAAGCCTAGTCACCAAGCCTGCTAAGTTGTGGGTCCATGTAGGATGGTTTCTTCACTATTTGGTTCCAGTTACCACTTTAGTAGTTAACCAGCTTCCATTGGCTTAAGAACAGCTCTTCTTTTGCGGTTCCTTGGTTGTAAAAAGGGATTTTGATCACTGGATAGTTTTTTTTTCGCGGTTTCCGGAGGACAAAAACCATGGAGGCAGATCGCCAGGTGTTGCACGGGGGTTTCCCCCGGTTGGGCGAAAAGGCCAACTTCGGAAGTTGGGAGGACGGTTTTCGGGGTGGCGAGCCTCTTTTCAAGAAGTGGTGAAGCCAGCCATCCGGTTCCTTAGCTTTTTAGCTTTTCAGCGTTCAGTGGAAATGGTTTTCCATTTGTCCCAGTAAAAGTCAGCCACTTTTAGCGGGGGATGTGAGGACAGCCCAGTTGCGTAAGGCCATGCCTACTGTGTGGGGGGGGAGGGGGGGTCCTCTGACTAGGCCCCAGACGGTTTTGGGCTTGTTGCTCCCTGACATCCGCAAATATGAGGTAGGACCCTTAGGGTACTGTAGGGTCCTGATTCATCCGAGGTTGCTTCCATGTGCTTAAGAATATGTCCAAGGTTCCCCTCTTGGTTTTGAGATAAATCTATCACTACAGGGAATATGTGTTTGATGTGTTTTTGCTTTTTTGGTCTACTGGGACATACGGAGCATACGGAGCAAAGTGTTTTAAAGGGAATCTATGACTACAGAGAATATGTTGTTTTTCTCCTCCTGGGTCAGGAAGTGACGTAGATCCCAGGTCTGCGGCGAGCTGCTACGGGGCGTCAGGTTTTGGTGTGCCGGCCTCGGAGTTCGGCGTTTCGGGGTTTTAGGTCGTTGGGTTGATCGACAGCCCTAAATGGATCCCCCACAGAATCTATCTTAGCCAGTGAACCCCTTTTCCAAGTTCCAAGAAGAGATGGGGGTTGATCTATCCCAGTTTTGACCAGTAACTTTTGAACCATGTGGTTGAAAAAACAAGTCGTTTTCGCTGTCTTCCAACCAATGGTCATGCCATGTATCACGGACCTTTTGATCAACCCCCATTCCTCGCTTGAGTTCCGTTTCGAAGGCTTTGTTGTCACTGTTGGGGGTCTGGGCTCTTGACCATTTGAGCTGCGGGTGGACCATTGTGGGTTGTTAAGCATAGTAAAACAAATAATATTTTTGGTGGACCATTTTTAGTGGACCACCCTTGTTGGGCATCCACGGCTCTGTGAGTTGCGCCGGCTCAGTGCTATGCTACTTGTAGCACGCACCTGCTAGCTAAGAGCCGACGTAGGGTCCCTTGACCTTTACTGTTGTTGGCATTTTGTTTAGGGTTTTAGGTTGTTAGGCTTTTAAGTTATTTGGTTCGAATCAGTTTTTGGTCGCAAGCTACAACAAGCAAGGTTTGTTGCTCTGGTTGCTCCCTTGACAAGCTGCCTACTGACTTGGACGGCGGCGAGCCACATAAAGGTGGAAGGGGGCACCCCGGCCAGCAATTTGACCCCCGGCAATAATGTGGAGGTCGGCAATTACGAATTGCAGGTGATGTTGAGTGGATCCCGGGCAAGGCACTGCAACTAATTGGTAGCCAGCCACGTTCCTTTGGTTTTTAAGCTGTGGTGACCTACTATGTAGGTAAACGGAATCATCTGCGTCCTGAAAGCCTACCAAAGAGGCTGCCCGCATCAGCCGCGACTGAGGATGTTGGATATCGCCAAGCTGATTTGGTTGAGAGAGCCGAGCGCGCGCTTCTTAGTGATGATGGTTACTCGAAGTGCTTACTCCTTGCAGATCAACATGTAGCCCAAACAAACATGTTTAGAGCTATCTGCTTTGGGCACTCACTTGTTGCCGTTCCATGTTGTTTTGCAGGGGAGTATCTGGTTTTAACCTAGATACCCATCCGGGTATCCTTACTGAAAGGGGAATGCCAATGAGCTCATGAATCGAGGAACCTACGTACTGGGGATCCTGAAATTGCTACATACTGTGGCTGGACGAAATCCGTTCGCACCACTCGTTGAAACTATGGGAAACCATGGCTTGTTGGCCTTTACGTTGGAGGCATCATTTCAGAGTTTCTTCGGTGGTGCGAAATGTTTTTCGTTCATCAGGTGTGATTGGCGCTGCTCGACTTTTCGCGCATGACTTGTGCCATGATTTCATGGCCTGAAGCGAGCTGTTTTGCCCATGGCCGTACCTTGACATCGGAAGACTCATGTTTCTTTCTTGAAGACTAGGTCCCCCAGTAGTGCCCTTTTACCCTTTTTTCAGGGAGGGTTCCCCCACTAAAATAGACTACAGTGACTACAGAAAAAGGGTACCCTTATTCTAAGCTCTCTACTGGAGGACCTAGACGACCTTTGAACGTGGGGACAGAGCTTTCGGGGGGTAGTTGTGGGCTTCTTCTTTTTTTTGCGTCCGTGGCTGTCAGGTGAAGCACGAGACAAAGAGAGAGCAGCCCAGGAGACGGCAGCCAAACTACTTCCTACTCCAAATAGCAAAGGGTCTTAGTGTACTCACTTCCTGAGTTCATGGACTTTATACTTTTGGGAAGACCATTTTTCTTTTTGGGAAGACCATTTTATTTTTGGGAAGTTCATGGACTTGTTTGAACTGTTTCTGGCCCATCCACTCAGGAAGTGAGTGTATCCTGACCGGAAAGGGCAGTATTTGCCGTGAAACAACATGTTAACAAGTTGTTTCAAAACAAAGAAAACCGCATAAATACCCCACCGGCAGCTGGGTATTTGGAGCAGGCGGGGTTGCTCAATGTGGCCTGTATTGAGGACCCCCCCAACACCTGCTGTATCAAACTTGTTTCTGAAGTGACCCACAATTTGTCTGGGGCCATTTGATAGATATTTTGGGGCCTGGTGTGTAGTTGTTTGGTCCAAGGAATCACCAAGCCTTCCAATTGTTTGTTTGTTGGGAATGGGAACCATCAACCCTTTGTACTTAGATGTTCGGCCAAGTTAGTAAGTTGTTGGTAATAACCTAGGTTATATATAACCCAGTTATATGTCCCTAAGTGGGGATAACCGGGCCATGGGCACGATGGTCAGCTTGACACACGTCAGCTGACACTGGGCCCAAGAGAGTTACGCACTGGCTGCAACAGCATGGAAATGGTGCACGGTGTTCCTTGTCTGTGGCGGGGCTTTCCGGTCAAATGTCAAGCTCAGCCAATAGAAAGGATGCTCAGTTCTCCCCATCCCCTGAGTTTGGCCAGCCATCCACCAAATGGTCAACCGGAAGGGCCCCAGTTCCAGTTCATAGCATGGCTATAAATGTTAAGAGTTGGAAGCCCCTCAAAAGTGGTTGGTGGGCATGAATCGCAACCGAAATGATGTCCAAAGGGTCCGCAATCGAAAAATCGCACCCAAAGATCTTTGCAAGGAGAAGCTGGAGCGCGAGCGGAGGCAAGAGCAGGAGAGGATAGAGGCAGAGCGCAGGAGGCGATTCGGGGTGAAAGCGCAGTCTGAACAAGATATGGGGACACTCAAAAAGGTCGGTTTCCCGTTGGCTTCCCTTTACAAGCAATCTGAAAAGGAAAGCGGGGCTTGCGCAAGTTAGTTTGAACATCAAGATATGGGGAGCCGCAAAAAGGTGGGTTTTCCGCTACTTCACCTTTTTTGGTATGTGTTTGGGTCCTTAAGTTTTTTTGGCTAGTTCACTTTAAGTGGGCGGCGGCAAACAAACACAATTTTGTAATACCATCCCAAAGTTGGAAAGACAGGGTACCCTGAAAAGTTAACCCACACTGCCCCCAAACGTCCATTTGTGCTTCAAGAGAAACCCTAAGATCGATTGTTTCCCCACGCTCTCCCTCCACAGCAAAGAGGAAGCTCTGAACAACGGCATGCTTAGTAGGGATGCAAATGACCCCACCGGTGTTCTTCGCCTCAGCACCGCTGTTTGGGAAGAGAAAGGTCACTTTTTGGAAGCAACTTTCTTGTTATGCCATCCTCCAGGTGAACTCCGCTCCCCTAAGTCATGGGTTGTTGTTGGGAAACATTTTACATTTTTGCTGATTGTGGTTTTGTGCTTGAAATCGAACCACCGAACGGCTGAAATTTGAAAATTGTTGCCCCCCTTCCAACGTCAACCAAGCTAAGCTGCCTTCCCAGACTTAGCGAGGCTTAACTGCCAGCTGGAACGACCCCGCTCCTCGACGTGGTAGCTTAGAGGAGACCCACGGCTGTATTCTCTAAACATCCCCATGTCCAAGCATCCAAATGTAGGTTCCCCCTTAAAGGGGGCCATGGATTGGTTGCTTAAACCAATTTTGTCCCCCCCCCCCCCCGTCTTTCAGGCAGGAGGAGCTGCTTGCAGCGGAGCGGCGGCGAGAGCAGAGGCGTCAGGAGGAGGAGGAGCGAAGGCAAGCGCAGGCCCGGCAACCGGCGAGCTCCATGTTTGTTTCTTTTTTTTTCCCCCGTGTGTTTTTTGTTCTTCCCATGTGTTTTTTTTTCCCGGCTTTTGCTGGGCGACCAATGGCTTTCCAGCTGGAAAAAGAAGAAAGAAGCCGTGGTCGTGGTCTCCCCGGTCGAGCCCCGGAATTCCTGGAAGCCTCGAACAGCTCGAGGGTTGAAGGCTGCCCCAAACCACCCCAGAGACCCCAATTCTTGCGGCTGTTGGGCAAGAATCGCTGGTTACCTACTAGGAGCGAAACGCCCCTCGGATCCACCTAGTGGGTGAATCATAATTGATTGAGTTTTTAGATGCACACCCACCCCAAACCCAGACACCCAGTGGGCGCTCTCGCGTTTCCTGTCAGCAACTGACATATCATATTGGTCTACTGTTGGTTTGGGGAGGACATGGGGGGCCAACCCACACTTCCCGCAGAGTGGGGACAGCCCTGCTTTCCCATCTTGTGGAGCCAACAATACTGTTTGTGGCTGATGTGTAGATCTCATCTATTCGTTCAAAACCATCCAGGATTCAAAAGGCCCCCCCACACCCACCCAACCCTCCCCCGCAGTGCGAGAACGTGGCGGTGTTTGTCGCCTCTCAAAATCGTGCTAACCTCGAAAGAGGGCTCCAACTCCTCAGTGCTTCTAGTTACCACTGGAATTCATTCGTAGATAACCAGGAGGTGTTGCATGACGGTTTTATGGCACTAGAATTTAAATTAGTAGAATAACCAGGCGGTGTTTCATGGCGGTTTCTCCCTGCTGGCAACTGGAAGCCCTGGGCCAGTGCCTTTTCGCCTGGTTTTTAGGGTCCCAAACTCGGCCACCGGAGGCTCAGCGAGACTTGGAGAGGGACTTGCTGAAGCAGGCGCAAACTGGGACCCCCCGGCCCTCGCGGACGAGTCAACTGTGATGGGGAGGGAACATAGGCGTCCTTTTTGGTTGTTTTGTTAGAACAATCGATGGGTTTCGATTCCTGGTTTACCTGGTGGTTTTTCATCATCTACCAGGGAAACCCATCTATTTCCCCCAAAAGGACACCTATGGCAGGGAATGTGGTCGACTGAATGAACCGGTTTGGGGGATTCCCGAAGAAAGGAAGCCACCCGTTGGAGGGTTGGGAGAGGGGTCATTCCGAAGGGCCAAGCTACACTGAGTTGTTAGTAGCTATGGTTGCTGCCCACCAAAGCCATGGATTTGTTGGTCCTCGTTCAGTGGGTTGTAACTAGGGTTGCCGACTTAGTACCTACCTATATCAGTACCTTGCCCCTTTATAAGCGGCTGTTCACTTGGAGGCTAGGCCTATTCCTGGCTTCCAATCCAAGCCGCAAAGGAGACCCAGTCCTTCCAGTGGCAGAGTATGCCAGGGAAGTGTTTAGCAACAATGGCTATGCTGACCGTACTTGTACGTCTCCGTTCACTGGGCTATGAAGAATGATTGCCACTTACCCGACGCACCCCCCAAGGGTTCGGGATTAAGACGCTGAATATCACCTCGCCGTTTTCTTCCATTTCGCCCTTTTGGCGGAATCTATTGCTACTGGACATATGTTCATATTTTTGCGAACGGACGTGTTTGCAATTCGAAGGCCTGGGGGGGGGGGGGCCGGGGTCGGGGGGGGGGTGGTTGGGTTGGACGGAGGCCCGCCTCCCCGACTTCGCCGAGACGGTGGCACCGAAAGCCAAGGCCAAAGCGCGAAGCGCGGACGAGCGGGTGGCTGAAGCGAAAGCCGAGGCGCCGCGAAGCCAAGCCGAGGCTGGGGAGAAATTTGATGTGGCTGTGGGTCAAAACCAATGGTACCATTTTGGGGTAGGTGCACCATTTTAGAACCAATTTTAGTGGGGATTGGATGGCCATGTGTGATCTCTTTCAGGTCGCCCTTCGTCGGGTTTGGATCTGGGGATTTGAAGGGGTTTCTGGTTGGATCTGGCAACTGGGAACTGGGAACCCCCTACGTGCTGGTGCGATAAGAAGGGAACGAGACATGGAATGAAGCTTTTTGGAATTCCCGAATAAAGGAAGCCACAAGTTGGATGGTTGGAAGAGGTTTGGATTGGCTTGCATTTGGAATTGAACGGGTCCCTGGCTGCAACGGGTAAATGGGAGTCCACTCAACCTCCAAACCACGGCTCCAAATCACATCAAATCACCAATTGGAGGGAAGCTGATTTTTGGTGCAGGCGTGGGATTAAAATTTGGTTTTGGGTTGGTTTTACCCGGAGCCTCCATGTCTCAATGACCCTTGAAGCCATCGTGGCTCCTTTCTTTTTGGCTAGCGACCCATTTTGCTGAGGGTCAGGGAGTTGCAAGGAAACCCCAGGCATAAATCATGTGCCCAGGTTGAAGAAAACATGGGCGGAGGAAAAAAGGCCCTGGTTGAACAAGGGTTTTGTTACATCGGGGGATTACTCTGCGAAGTTATCCCATTCTGAGAAGGTTGCCCACGGGGAGGTTCTCCTTAGAATGGCTGTCCGAAATGGGGGGCTGCAGAAATGGGTCCATATTTCCTGCGAAGCCCAAGATTTGAGTCCTGTCTCGCTTTATCTTCCATTTGTTTAAGCATTTTGTTTATTCTCCCCTGTTGGTTTTAAACGGAATAGAGCACCACTGGAAGTATTTTGTTTTTTCCAGGGGGCTTAAGCAAATGGAAGTTATTTGAGTCAAATTGATCAGGTCCCCCCAATGGTTCTGGGGACTGGGAAGTGTTGCCGCCTTTGTCGAACATTGGAACAAAGTGGCAAAGTAAGTAAACTCAGCAGGATTGACATACCTGGAGTCTCCACTCCTAAGCAACGAGGTCATCTACCCAAAATAAAGGGGTAATTGATGCCCTCATTGTTGAAAAAAGTCATGAAGACGTCAGGTAGCTTTGCTGGGATCCAGCACAAATGTGTGGCAACCTCAATCCCACTATTTGTTGGGGGGGAGGGGGCGTCCCACTGAAAACGGTCAACCACATTTTGAACAACTCGTCAAGCACTCTGCAGGAACATTTACCCCGTTCGACACCGCAGAGAAGCGACTGGTGGAATCAGGGGACCCCCCCCAAACCGCTTTGGTTGCCTTGGACCCAGCTGGAGGGTCCACATGTGTCTGTCTTTTTTGAGACTACGCTTTGTGCGTTGGTTTAAAAGGACACTCAAAGGACTGGCCATCATTTTGGGGGTCCCCCAAAAATGACACACCCAAGTACCCTTCGAGGTAGTATTTCTTTGTGGTTAAACGGGGTCAGAGACCATGCTACTTGGACATGTTAGACCTTGAGTCCACAACAAGCGGTACATTGTGGGTCCAGGATGCATTCGATTGGAGGCTTTTGCGCTGTATCAGAAGCTTCCAGTGACGGCGTGGTAATTATCTAGATAAAGCGAGCAAAAGTCCATCACGGAGTTTGTTTAGGGATTGATCTTATGGCAGTTTGCCTAGATATTGTGGGAGTGCTTCTTGCCAGCTGAAGGAAATGGACATTGTGCGTGTGGAGTGCTTGTGTTTTTGTCAGTTCGATATCGGGTGTCGCTTAAAGTCACTCATTTGAGCTCGGAGCTCGCACAAGGGGCGCTCATGCCATCTTACGGAGTGAGCACATTGAGCTTCCAGCAACGACAGACATTTGTTTGGAAGATTGTTTTGGTCGCCATTTCTGAGACCTCTTTTGACAGTTCGAGGCTCAGATACGGAACAGAAGCTCAAACTTGCCTGTTCAATTGGCAAACTTTCACTTTGCTTGTATACTGGAATTCTTCATTTGTTGAAGATTGTGGCTTGTCAGGCAAGTCAACTTGGCAGGTCAGCAAGAAGGTCATGCACAGCTCGGGGCAAAAGCTTGCGTTTTGTCAAGACAATTTGGGGAGGTGCCACCGCATCACTTGCAGGTGAGTGCGAAGGAGCCGGAGGCACTTGATGTGAACCTCAGCTGCAACATGAGGATATCATATCACATGATGTGTTGTTTCTCTTTTTGTTCTGGGTTTGGGGGCTACGCTTCCCTTTGTTCTTCAGGAATGGGTGTTCCTTGAAACAAAAGCACCGGCCAGGTGTGTCCTTTTTTTGAGCAAGCATTGGCACCCTGAAGAGCGAATTCAATGGTCAGAAGTCCCACTTTGCTTGGGGTTGGCATGGCCAACCTCAGAGTAATCCGTGACAACAAATCTTCGGGTAACCTTTTGTTGGCGGTTTCAATTGGCCTGGAAACGGGTAAAATGGGGGTTTCCAGTCCCTTTCCAAACCGGTGTAAACCAGCAGTTAGCTGGAAGCTGACTTGTAAGACTTTGTTTAGCCTAAAGCGTCCTATTCTAAAATATGCACCTGACGGGTCAAAAAGAGGACCAGTGACTCCCTTGATCTCTTTTGGACCTTCTCAGTGACTATCAGTCGAACACGAGTGCCTATTGCTGGCCAACAACCCTTGAGTGCCATTCCCGGACGCGGGCTAGCTTTGAAGCATGGAGGGTGTGTTTTCTTGTTGCCGGGTCTTCCTTTCAAACAACCAGCCAACGGGCTCTTTCGTTTTTGTCCCAATCCGCAGAGCTAGGTACAGCGATGATGACATCGACGACGACTTCGAGGTGGGAACTAAAGGAATCAAAGGGCATGTCCTGTTCAGGTCAGAAAAGTTGCTTCTTTTTTTTTGAGTTGGTACCCCTTTTTGGGGTGGTTTTAAAGGAAAAGCGTTGCTCGCCATTTGGGCGCGCCTAAACAAAGGGGTGCCCAAATGCCTCTGGGATTCTTGAAGGGCCTGCAACGAGTCTCAACCTTCCGGTCAGCTGTGCAAGAAGTGCAGCTCTACGGTGCAAATTTCCCACAATTCTACGGTGCAAAACACAAGCCAGCGTGCGTTGTTTTTTTTTTTTGGAGGGAGACTTCTTGTGGGGTCCTATCTTTGTTTGGTAATTTTTGAGCGAATCCACCATGCTCTGAGGGTGGAGTCCTTGTTGTTGCCCTTTCGACTGCTCACTGGGAGTGAGTGAATTCGGGAACATGGCGCAGGTTTTCTATTCAGCCAGTTGTTGTGGTTCTGCCATTGTGGTCCCAAATCGGAAGGCCCCCTGTACCTTGTCGCGCTTGGCCGCAGTCGGCTTTTGGTGGAGATTGAGGCTACAAGTGGCATCAAGATTCTTGGGGCGACGGGTGCGATAGGGTGCGACTTGCATAATTGCAAGAATGTAATGTTAGATGTAAACCATGGTTGAACACCTCCGAGACTATGGGATCTTCACCTGTCCAAGCGAGAGTCTTGTTTCATGTTTAAGATCTCTGAACGGCCGTATAGGGAAGAGGTTTTAACCCTGCGTGTACCGGAGAGATTGCTTTGGACAGAGTAGCGCAAGCAAAGTTGCTGAGCAGTTCTCAAGATCTCACAATGTTGTGTCCTTGTCACGCCCTTCTGGGCGTCAGAATGACAGAGTGGGGTCTTAGTCAGACAAGGAACTCCAACCACACAATTCTCCCAGATTTGAATCCATCTGTTTTATGAATCGAATCCCCGCAACAGTTTTGTGTTTTTGTTTTCCTTTTGGTTTTCCTCAACATCGCCAATATTGTATGTTTTCCTTTCGGTTTTCCTCTATAAACCGCCAAAGGGGGTCCCCTCGAGGATTGATCTCCAGGATTGGCCGCTTTGGGTTTCACTGACGGAGGTGGTGGACCTGGACACCTTCGAAGTGGACGACCTGGTGATTGTTCGGGAGACGCGATTGGCGAGCTGAACCCATCCCAGCCATCCGGTCCCTTAGCTTTTTAGATCCTTTTAGTGTTTAGTGGTAGTTTCCATTTAACCTGCTAAAAGTTAAACTTTTAGCGGGGGATCTGAGGGCAGCCAGTCGATATATCAAAGTAGGGGGGCCCCCAAAAAATACAAACTGTACATGACCGTGGTCCTTTAGGTTTCGGATTAAAACAACCCCCCCTCCCCAGTACATGACGAGCCTCAAGAAAAAACCCATGGTATTCAAATGACTCCCTGTTCTTGCATCCGCGTTGACATGGGGATCGATCTCTTTTTCAGAGGCCGATTCCAGAAACCGGAGCATCAGACACGTCGTCAAAGTTTGTGTCATGGTCTTGCTGCTTACCTTTAAGTAGGAAACGGGGAAACAGCTTGGTAAAACCTGGTAGAACGACCTGATAAAAGTGTGGCTTGAGTGTATGCTATGGCATTGCAACGTGAATAGTTGGGAACCTTGACTATGTTTTGCTTTTGAGACCATTCAAACGCTTCAGACGGATCCAATGTGTGTGTTTGCCTGATTGTTAGCTGGAAGCACCGAGTTATGTTTCATGCCCCCCTTCTAGAGCGTTCCCACCCTTGCAACAGCAGGTGGAGTCGACCGCGTGATTCTTGTTTTTTGTGTTTTTTAGCGACACAAACAACGCTGTTGGGTGAAAATTGCAGCTGGCACAATTCCTCCATGTTGGCTTAGTTCTCTCCTTTTCTGACCAGCCTTAAAACACATGTACCATCTTCTTTCACCATCTTTCACCCTAGTGCATTGGTAGTCTGGGCTGGTTTGGGGAGGACGAGAAGAGGGACAACCCAAATTTCCCACAAAGCAGAGGCTATACGTTACCTTGGCTGGAAGGCGGATCGAGGACAAATTCCTGTCCATGAACATGGAGCTCAAAACCGCGAACATCACCTTCAACACGGATGGTCAACACGACAACCGGCAATTCCCGAGAACGGACAGCCAGCCTGGGTTGTTGTGTCCGACACCCTTGGAAGCCGCATGGGAACTCTCCACCAGGTTGGTGGAGAAGAAGGAACGGGCGCAGAATACTCATGTTGCAGCTTTCTGGATGGATTGCCTGCGCCGTTTCGAGCCCTCCAGCTGGCTTTTGGGAGAATGATCAGGGATTGGCCAGCGGAATGCTTGAGGTTGCTTAGGCTTGGCCCTGCAGGATCCGCAACGGCTCTTGAATCGTTTGTTGAGTACTCTCTTTTCGGATGTTTGTGGGGTCCATGTGTGCCGGTTCCCTCAAAAAGGCACAGGGCTCAGCCGGCTCAGCGCACAGTTAATTTGTTTGCTCATGCATTTGGGAAGGGACAAGGTCAGAGTTAAATTCTGTGCTCATGCTGTGGAAAGGAAAAGAGTTGCTTGAGGGTTGGTTTATGTTTTGATTCAGGGCACCCCATCTGCAGGCAGGCATGTTAACGTGGGTGCTAAATAAGCAATATGTGGAACGTGCATGGATGCTAAACATCCAATATGTTTTGAATATTCCCAAAAGGATGCCAGAAGGGGGCGTGTATCTTTTGAAGTTCTCCAGACCCCATATGGATCGCACCAAGCAACCGACGAAATGTGCTGTGTCCTTTTCCACCTTCGCAGGAGGACTTCATTTCGGACTCCGACCCCCCCGAGGAATTGCTGCGGGGGCCGAACGCTCAGATCTGTGCCGTTTGCGTATGATTTTGCAGGTGCAGTTTCTTGGGGTGGGATTGCAAAGGGAAGCGCGCCATTTCAGGGGTTCCCTCCATTCTGACACATACCCAAATACTACGTTAAAATGTGCGTTTGTCCTTCCTAGGAGTTCAAGTCCCAAGATTTAAGGGGTATTTTGAGCCTCGAAGACCTCAAATATGGCTTTGGGTCAGCCGAAAGGGGACAATTCGATTTGCTTCCCAGACCCCGACCCCTTCTATATTTCAGGAAACCCTTACTTGGTGGTTTGGATTGGTTTTGGGATTTGAACGAGTCCCTGGTTCTTGAGGGAAAATGGGAAACCACCCCTGCTTCCAAACCACGAATCCAAGGTACAATTACGAGGGACGCTGATTATCGCAAGAGATGGATGCCTGAAGCATCTCATCTCGCGCTTGCCGCAGGGGCTCAAGCAATTGCCGACCCGGATCGTGTTTCTGGACATAGGGAACCACAAAACCACCCGATGTTCTTTCCCGCTTACTTCCCACAGAATAGACATGGAGCTTAAATAGGGGCTTAGACTCAGATCTCAAAAAAACAACTTCTGCAAACGGATGGGTGTGGTCGAGAAGCTTTTGATGTGTGTGCATTTTTTTGGGGGAAGTCCTTCTGTGGGTTGTCTAGTTGCTTTTGATTCGGGTTGAAGCGCGGATTCGATTCCCGCCAGCTTCGATTTCCCATTATGCAGCGCATCGCCATGCAGCGATGGAACGGACAAGAGTGGAGTCCCTGCGGCGACGACTGCAAGCCGGCCCCAAGCACAGGCGGGATCTGAACCGGGACACGCTAGCCTTAGGATGTACTTGAGGGGTCAACAAGGGGGTCATTTGGAGCAGCCTCACAACAGACCTATAGGGCAAACTACTGTGGGTGGGCGAAATCCGTTTGCACCACTTTGAAGCATGATCGAAACCATTGTTTGTTGGTATTTACAGGGGAGTCGAATCATTCCAGGGTGGATTGCGAAAGGTTGTAAGTGTTAGCAAGGCATCCACACACACACACATCCCAAAGTCAACCTTTACGCGTTTTGGGCAGACGGTCTCAGTGTCAAAAAGCAAGTTCAGACTTTTGCAGGCCAACCTGTCAGGAGTTCCTCTCCCGTTGAGTTGGCTTAAGTATTTTTGTTGACAGATGGTCTGCTTTTTCTGGCCACTCATGCAGCAAGTTCGTTGGGGAACATTTGGTTTGCCCCAAATAGCAGGCCGCTAAGAAAGGAGAGACCCAAACGAATTCTACGGAATCTCGCTTCCAACCACCCTGCAACAGCTGTCCAAGTCGAAATCGTCCCAGCCTTCACATGGGTTTGTGTGTGTGTTTTTTGGGGGGTGGTGTGGTACCCTGTTCACGTTGGTTTGAAGGGAAACCAAGAAGACAGCCACTATTTGGTCCCAGTCCGGATTTCTGGTTGACTTTTTGGGCAAATATATGTCTGGTCCAAAAACTGGGATCATCTTTTGAAACCAGCCAAAATGGGGGGACCCTCAAAAAAACATGCATGTATTTTTCTTTGACACCTCGGAAGTACTCGGCAGGGAGCTTCCGGGTTCTCCAAGCAAGGCAATCCCCAATCAGACTCTTTTTCTTGGCCCAGCTCTCACCCAAAACCGTGGAAATGCGCAATCAGATTCTTCCGGGCCCCATATTTCATCGATCGCACCGGTCCTTTAAGGGCAAGTGACCCTTTGCGAAAGTCGCCAAAAGTCAAGTGAGGGTCCGATCAGGCTTGGTATGCAGAACCCAAAAATTATCCGTATCTTCTGAGGGGTCTCCAACATGCCAGATATTTTCGTTATTTTGGGGTCGACGCCAACATCCCTTAGGGCATTTTTTGGTCCACGCTATGAACCCATCCAAGTGATTCCGTTGTGGGTGTGGCTATGTGTGGCTCAAAACTTCAACAGCTGGGGTTACGCAGATTTTAGTTTTCGGCTCCATTTTCCAAGGTGCCATTGGGGTACTGTTTGACCCACGGCCATATGGGTAGCCAAGGGCTTGCCACCCGATAAAACCAACCCATTCGACTCGTCGTTTTGGTGCAGGTCTGCGCTTGGCCACCTTCAACATCCTTACGGAGAACCGGTTTGCTGTCCATTTGACTGGTGTCAAGCCTCTGCAGGGGCCAAGTCTACGAAGTCGTGGGTGTCTTTTGCAAGGTGGGACCCACCAAAATGCTGGTTTTCCTTTTGGTGTTCCTTTGAAGCCAAGGAGGGTATAGGGAACTATGCCGTGCTTTGCGCGTCAAAAATTGTCTCCCTTTGAAAAACCCAAGGGTACCCTCAAAGAAGGAGAGACCCTAGTTTGCACCCAGGAGTGGGTTGGTTCTTTTTTCCAGGGAAACCTTTTTGAGGGTACCCTTTTTGGTGGGTTGTGTTGAGAAACCTTTTGGGGGAAAGACTCATGGTTTGGCTGTGGAGACAGACCTATGTTCACTCTACTTTGATGGGTGTCCGCGTTTGCAAGAGCTCAAGCAAAAGATGTTGAAGGGACAACCTGTTAATGTGAAGATTCAGGAGGCCAGATACTCACTGACGGAGTTCTTGGATTGGTGTGCCGTTTTGGAATACCATGTTAGTGGTAAACTCAGCCAATCCACTCAGGAAGTGAGCTCAGCCCAGCGAGCAAAGGCCCTTCCAAGGGCATGCCGGCATTCCCTCTGGCATATGATTTTATGCCCCTCACCCCTTTTTTGGGCTTGTGGTGTTGCTCCGCTTTCCGTGGTTGGTATGTTTCTTCGCGTAAAACCAGGCTCCATTTTCAGTTGACAAAGTTTTGGGGATGGTAAAACCGAAACTTGGACGTTAATTATTTTGAGGATGTCACCCTAAAAACGGTCCAGAGTAGCTAGCAGTCTAAACCACTACAGTGAACGCCCTAAATATTGCAAGAAAACCAACCACACCCACCCGCAAAAGAGCAATCCCTTCCTTCATCTTAAGTAAAGTCCTTATTCTGGTCACTCGTCATCCCTTTACATACCCTCTTCCCAACAACCATGAAAGTGAGTGCTTTCCCAAATAACAAGTACTCCAGAAGCCTCCGACCGTCAGCTTCCACGGGGGCCGAGGGAAGCATCTGGGACCTGCGCCATCTACCAACTGGTGCTTTTTTGGTGGGCTCTAAAGGAGAGGCGGACAGAATTCCGTTGGGATAAAGTGGTCAAACAACTACTTTTGAGGTGGTTCCCTACGAACACCTTTAATTGATGGTTGGTTCCCTGTTGATTTCTCTTTAGAACCCATCCAAACATCAGTTCTCTATTTGGAGACGGAGCCAGAATTGAGTTCCCAGTGGATCCCAGTTACCACTAGAATGGGCAACCAGCTATTTTCCGGTTGGTGTTTATACCGGGTGCTTCCCTTTGTATCGGGTGGCAAGCCCTTGGTTACCCCTAAAGGCAGTCCAACGGAAATTCTCTGGGCTCAAAATTCGCCAAACTCTTGCGAAAATGTCCTGTTGTTTTTTTTATTATATCGGGTGGCAAGCCCAAGCCCAAGGCTATACCTACCGAATAGGCAATCGATATTTGTTCGGCTTAAGACAATTCACGACTCAGAGGAGTTATGTTTCTTCTTTTCAATGGGTGGATCCCTCCCTCTTGCTTGGCTACCTTCATAGGTAAAAGTTTTTTCTTCAGGCTTAAACATGGTTGTTGTTGGAAGACATCTTACATGTGTGCTTATTGTGGTTTAGTGGTTGAAATCCAAACACTTAGCTGCTAAAATTTAAATGTTTGCTCCGCTTCCAACGTCAACCAAGAATATGTTGGGTGGTTCCCTCCCTTTTGCTTACCTACCTTTATAGGTAAACGTTTTTTTCAGGCGTATATAAACTTCACAGTCTTGTTGTTCTTTGTCATGGGTGGCAGGCCCGCCCCTGGGTACCCACCTCAAGTCGGTAAGCGGGTTTTGTTTTAGGCGTAAAGAACATACTCACCGAGACGCTCTGAGAAATTTTGTACTACACCCTGGGATTACACCCTTGAGAAATGACCCAAGAATGGTTCAAAATAACCCGGCTGTCTCCGGACATGCCTTTATTTGGGGTCAATACCCAGTGAGTGTATTCCCAGGGTGTAATACAAAAACCCTTACTTACCTCTTAAAAGCACAACTTTTCAGCTTTTTGGGGGTAACATGGGCTAAATGTCTGTAAAAGATTAACTTCCCCAGGGCTTGGAGTTTTAAGGGGTAAGCTTAGATACCCAGAGGACGGGTGCCCCTGGGCGGTGCGCCTGGCCATCCTGAGCGACCTCCGCTTCGAGCAGCTGAAGGCGGCCATCCGGGAGCTGCGCGCCGAGGTGCTGCTGCTGAACGAGGAGCCGCGGATCGAAGCGTGCGAGAAATTCCGGGCCGGTGATGATGAGACTTGGGGGGGTTCCGGCTTCTCTCAGGTTTTAGGGTTTCAGGTTTTTAGGTTTTCAGGTTTTTAGGATTTCAGGTTTTTAGGTTTTGAGTTGGTTGATTGTTGTATATTGTTGTTTTTTTGGTTTATCCCACTAAAAGTGAATCCAGCGGTCAGATCAAACCCACCTTTACAGGATTGGTTGGGAGAATGAAGCGTTTTGGTGGGCAGTGAAAGGGAAACCACGAGGAAAGTTGTTTTGTTCATCGGTTTGCGGGTTCTGTTCATTTTGTTTCAGGAGCTGTAGAAACACAAAAATGTTTTGTCCCCATACCAGAAAAGACACCCGGCAGAAACTCGGCAGGCACCCTTCCTTCCAAGTTTTGGGGACCCTGACCCCTCCAAGAACCCTTGCTCGGCCTTTGGCCCATATTTTTTACTGCCCTAAGCTGCGAGGGCCTCGAGGGGACCTGAAATATTCGTCAGGTCCGGCAGTTAGCTCCTTGGTTGGCCTTGACCCCAAGGGCCCAGAGCTGAGGGTAGGCCCCTCGTTTGTACCCGCGTTTTGCGACTCGTCTGTACCCGCTGGAATCCACTCGTTTCTACC